CATTGGCAATAGAATGAAACATATCAGTATTCTACCATTCCAAAACACTTTCTTCCCTTCTCCACCCTCTTACATATGTTTTAATGCTCATGATCTTTAGTGAATTTGTTATTTATAAAAAATTGCGGTTTAAAATAGCATCATCTTTTTGAGTCAGTTCTGTATTATCTTCTAACTGAATGTTACACTTTCATATGGAAAACTGCTTATTAAGAAGGTTCTTGGTGGAATTATTAACTTACTCTTGCAAGAGAGTTAGACTAGTTGGGAAGTATGCTACTAATGGTAGTACCCATACCTGCCCTCCGATTACATGGAAGTGACTGCTTCTTTGAACCTCCAACTTTCATTCATTTCTTCAATCTTGTAAAGAACATGAACTTATTAATTCTCATAATTCTCTTTGCAGAAGAATAATATGGTTTGGGGACCTGAATTATCGTATCAATTTACCATACGAGAAAACACGAGAACTCATATCTAGAAAAGAATGGTCTGAGTTGATCGAGAGGGACCAGGTAATTCAACTTTTATTTCTATTTTGTAAACTAACTTTATGATGCCTTAAAGAATGTAACATATTTTTCCAATGCTGGAATTGATTTAAACTTCAAACCGGTAATGCATAAAGCATTAAATGCGGTTCAGTTTTAGAACCCTATATCTTGAAATTATTTACCTTCTTGAAGCTATTCAACAGTCAAAAATGTCTATTCAAATTTATTGATCAAACACAATTTCTTTTGTCAGTAACTGCTGGCCAACTTTAATTGATAACTATGTTGAAATTCTTTCTTTTGTGTTAAATGGCAGCTTGTAAGAGAACTAAGAAAGGGACGTGCGTTTGGTGGATGGAAAGAGGGTACCTTAAATTTTCCACCCACATACAAATATGAGTATAATTCAGAGAAATATTGTGGAGATGACCCAAAGACTGGGCGGCGTACTCCAGCATGGTATGTACTTGCAATTTTCCATCTGTTGCATTTCACCTCGTATAGCCAATTAATGCAAACTTTAGTTAGTTCCTTCACCTGAATGACCCATTATGTGTGTCTTAATTTACTTTATCCAGTAAATGTAGGGAAATTTAACATAGTTATGCACTATAAAAATCTGTTACAATAGAGTTGTAGGATGTCTATGAGATGAACCATATCCCTGAGTTTCCCCCAGGTTAAATATCTATATATTGTCTATGTTTCCAATTATCTTCTTGATTAATAACTGATTAGGCAACTTTAATAATCAATGCAAAAAGATGCCAATAAAAGAAAAAGAGAAGTGCTCAGGCACTCCCCAGAATAGGTCACTAGGGCTAGCTCCTATTAAATCTAGTTTCCCTGGTGAAATGCCTAAACTGCCATGGCCCTGGAGTTTCCCCTTGTATCTACACGATTATCATCTGAAAATCCCTTTCCACCTCTGTTACTGTATCCTGGATAATAGCACAACCTTAACCTGTGAAGTAACAATAGGATTTCTATCTCGGTTGTCTCCCTGCTCTATTGGTCCTAATATACCATCAATATTTCACCTTGGTTGTTCCTTGAAGCTTCACCAGCTCAGCTCCTGATCTCCCTGGATTTTCAGGAATGCACCCATTAATTTTTTGGAGATTAGTGGAGGGAGCCAGGTTTGAGTCTTTAGTTTTGGTTGAAGAAGAAACCGCATTATCATCCTCTAATGATGTCATCAGCTATGAAGGGCTTAGACTCCTCTCTTGTCTGAACTGAGTTAATCATTTTACTGAAATTAGCTCAAGAATGCTTCCAATTATATATCACAATTATAAAATTTAACATACCAGATCCTGAAGTTCAAGCCTTGACTGGAATTTATCTAGTTGCATGAAAATTTGTGTATACTTTAAATTTTAACATATTACTCTTCGAGATTTGATATGTGTGTCATTCAGGTGTGATCGCATTCTTGCATATGGAAATGGAATGAGGCTATTGAATTATAAGAGGATTGAGCAGAGGCTTTCTGACCATCGGCCTGTGACAGCCAATTACATGGCTGAGGTAGAGGTTTTCTGTCACAGGAAGCTACAAAGAGCTCTCACATTCACAGATGCAGAGTTAGAAGCTGATGAAGTTATAACAGATAACTTTATGGCAGAACAAACTGCTTAAGTTTTGGAAGGTAAATATCCTTCTGTATGTTATCATGTCCAACACCCCCACCCAATTATGTTCTTTATATTTTGCAATAATTCTTTTTGTTTATAATATTTGATTGATCAACACTCTTAGACCTGTTACTTAGATAATTATAATTCAGAAAACTAGGAAAATAATTTTCTAGTTTACTCAGAAAAGAACAATTATTGTCAATCTCTTTTTGGTAATAATTGTCTGCTTAAGAGAGATCCGTGTTATTTTATTCCTCTATGTCTATTTTATTAGGATCAGATGATTAAAATTCATTCTGAAAATCTTTAAAAAATTACTCATGCACATGCACAAGTGTGCGTATTTATGCATTAGTTTCTAACATTGCACATCTTGGACATAGAAGTACCACCAAGTTCATTCTGAATGGCATTTCTCCTACCTCCACCGGCTGCTATGCCATTACAATCCCATCGACGGGGTTTGGAATTTTAGTGAATGAAGTGATCCATAATTTCCCAACTCCCAAGTTGGCTTATTGACTCTTTTGGGTCACTCTACTATCAAGCATAGTGTTATGTGCCTTAGGAGAACTCACCCCTAAAAGCTAGCTGTTAGAGGGAGGGAACCCAAGCACATATATACCCCACAACAGCATCTCATTCTACCGATGTGGGATACCTCACATTAGCATCCCATACTACCAATATGGGACAAATGGATCATAACATTCCACCACGCTCCGCAGTCCCGATGCCCACGCAGGCTGGCTTTGCACTAGTCCACCTAGTCCCAGCCGAACACTGCAATACCGGCATCACCACCTATGCCGCACGATTGCAACTGGGAGGCATAGTGTAGGCTTTGATACCATTTGTTATGTGCCTTAGGAGAACTCACCCCTAAAAGCTAGCTGTTAGAGGGAGGGAACCCAAGCACATATGAGACCGGATCTGCTCCTCACACCTGGCGCCTCACAGGCGCCTCACACGCACATCCTACCATGCATTGAGAACATCTCCCGCACTTATTAATTATTATTCAGGGGAGATGTTCCCAATGAACGGTGGATGTGCATGTGAGGCGCCCATTTGTGAGGAGCAGATCCCGTCTCAGCACATATATACCCCACAACAGCATCCCATTCTACCAATGTGGGATACCTCACATTAGCATCCCATACTACCAACATGGGACAAATGGATCGTAACACATAGGAAGCCAGGTCATGATAAAAAGGCCTTTACCCATTTAAGTTATTATGATGATTCTAAATAAACATAGTTGAGTCAAGAGACCAACTCCTCAAAGTCAATGATAGTAAGTTATATAAATGCTACCTGTGGATCTTGTCAGTGTTTATAAATACATTGTTTTAAAACACAAGAAAGATCGCATATGGGTGCTTAAAAACTTAATACTAGTAGATCTATCGAGTTCTATATTTTCTTTTCCACAAGAATTATCAAGTGATAAATTTTAAGTGTTCTGTATATCTAATTTTACTTTAATATTAGTATATTATAACTATTTGTGTTTAGATTTCTGATTATTGTAGTGTAGAGAGTAGAAACACATTATCAAAATGAACTCTGTGAAATTTATAAAATTATGGTATGATTAAGTTCCTAAATTGTAACATGACTCCCTAATCAACTTCACGTTCAGCCCTGCTGAGCTGAGTCAATCTCAAGTCAATCTCAATTATTTGATATGCAATCTAGAAAGTAGAAACCAAGAATCAGATATGGTAATTCATGTTTATTTTGGGAACAAACTAATTGACCAATCCATTTAGCTTCGAGTAATTTTACTTTATCTTTCAAATTTAATTTTACTTTGTAATCACATTGATGCATCTTGTCCCATGCATAAACCTATCTATGAGAAATTCAGTGCTATATGCTTGTTTCCAAATACAAATTTGTGGGGTTTGGTTTCTTTTCCTGCATCAGGTTCTATCCCTCCTGATATGTTTTGTTTCTTTACTGGTGTAGGATATATACGATTTGGAATGTTAATACAGAATGACTGAATGATAATCTTAACATGCACAAAGGTATAGACAGATTTCTTAAATTTGTTATTTTTTTCATATCAATTCTTTGTTTTGATTTCTTTTTTTTTTATTTTTTTTGCAACCAATTCTTGGTTTTGGTTATGCTTTGGATAGCGTTTCATGTCATTAATTCATTATACTAAATGTGTATATATTAATGGCCAGCAGAGCTACTGATGCAAATTAATTGAAAAACAGAGTTCAGTGCGTGTGTGCTGTCTCAATATGTATATATTTGTATTGAATGTGTCTTGCTTAGTTCAATCTTGTTATCATTCTATTTTTCTTTTTGGTTAAAGCAAGGATCAAGCAGCAAAACAGAAACAAAAACTACCAAGTACCACCAACTCTTCTCAAGACTGACTAAAATCTCTAGCCAAGGAGGATAATTCAGTCCATTTGTTCTAGATATGCAAATGAGATCGATTAGCTGCTATCAAAACAATGGACTTCGGACATGCAGAATGAGATTGGATTAGCTGAACTTGATACATGTTTTAAACTTTTACGGGCTGTGGGACCTATCATTTTGCTCCACGCCAGCCATAAGTGAAAGTGAGAGATTAAGTGGTATGGGCCATCTGCACTCTATGGCTGACATGGAGCAAAACAATTGGTCCCACAGCCCCTAAAACAGCTATATAGGTCAGCTATTCGATCTAATGCAGAATTGGGCATGACCAACTCAGTCTTGTGACTTTTGAGCTCTCATCTGAAGGACTGAAACCTGTAGAATCGGATTGGGGAGAAGAACTCAGTTCCCTTTCTACTCCCATGATCAGCATTTTTAAAACTTAATGTTCTCAAAATATAAAGGAATATTGCTTGTTGAGAATTTTTGGAAGCAAATCGCTGAATCATCGTGATACCTTTGGTTTGGCCTAAGATACCTGCTAATCTCTGGTGGTTCTAGGCTGTTCTCAAGGCTGAAATGTTCAATGGGACATTCCTTAAAAAAAGGAATGCCAAATGCAGCCTTAGACTGCACCAAACCTATCCGTGCAATAGAGAATTTGGTTATCAAGAGTCAAGGTTCTATACTTCTATTGATCCCAGTCTGTTATTGGAGTTTCATCTCATGATGTTAACCCAATCTAGACCTGACGTTAGGAGGTAACCCTTACAGCAGGAATTTAGAAATATGCGAAGAACATAAAAGCAATGGAGCAATTTGCAAGGGTTTACAAGCTCTCCTGTGCCATTATCGTGTTAAACCGAAACATTAGCAAACAGATGCGTAATTCCAGAAACAAAGCTCAAGATTAACAAAAATCTGGCCTTAACCACTGGTCGTATCATCGTATGTATTAACGTGTTCTCTTTACAAATTACAAAGCTATGCACAAGATCGCAGATGCTTTTATAATCTTAGCTGTGGGGTGGGTCTCAGCGGATATATCGCAGAATTACAATTAAGGCTCAGTTTGGAAAGAGTACAAATATAAATATGTAGAGTGCAAATACATACAAAATAATACAAAATACAAAGTTCTGCACTCTACATATTTGCATTTGCATTTGTATTTGTACTCCTTCCAAACTGAGCCTAAATCTCTCACACAATCTATAATTCAACCAAGGAGAATGAAATGCTCAAAATGGATCGTCTAACCATTGAAGAACTTTTTCTTTTATATTTTCTTTCTTCGTTTCTATATCTTCATTTTTTTTTTTTTGGCGGGGGAGGGGGTGTCAAGGTTCCTTTTCACTATCCCAGCGGCTTTAAGATGCTTTTTATTAGTCATATTAAATTTAGATTTTAGACCACTATCTTTTATCCCTGATACCAGATGTTAGGTTAATTATGCCATTTTGCAAAATAACCAGCCAGTTAGCCTGTTAGCCAAAGTGAACAATGATGTGAAGCTGATGAATTTAGTCTTTTTGTTGGATCAAATAATGAGACAAATACATACTACATAAAATGGAGTAGGAAGGGATCCACCATGGATCATTGCCGTAACGCAAGTTGAACTGACAAAAACTGAGGCCACATCAATGACAGACACTAGGCTCAAAGGTGTGGCCGCATCTTTGCAATGATTGTAGAAAGGTTCGGAACCCTATCAGCTCAAGTTAAAACTGAATCAGAATGAAGTTTGGTGCCTGATTTTACTTTGACACATTACCTCTTCCTTCAGAATCTTCACAGCTTCTCCAACTCCATCCTGAAATCATAAATGCAGAGTTTAGACACATAAGACTCGGATTGGAAGGAGTATAAATACAAATATGTACAGTACAAATACATACAAAATATAAGGTTTTGCACTCTACATGTTTGTATTTGTACTTCCAAATGGAGCCAATAGAATTTGTAGTGTTTTAGATTCGTAGAGTTCACAAAATAGATATTTAGATTACAAAATGAGTATGATATTTAGATTACAGTAGTCAATAGTCATCCACTTCTGTCATTCATTGCATGCATTTACTGTTACCTAACAATTTCCCCCTTTTGGGGAAGCCATGTCTACGAGTGTATCCAATTGCTCATCAAATACAAATTCTAAACAAGTAGCGTCTACGATGGATCAGAGCCCATTTATGAATGGTCCACCCAGGAGATCTCTAGATCAAGAATCTCTGTATTATGCATGCATATACTTTTGACTGCCAAAGGCAAAAATTTTCCACAGTTGTGTTCTGCTTGTTATTTGTTGAGAGTTTAAAAAGAAAGAAACAAAAAACCTTATATGGAAACAAAGAAATATTTAGAAGATATGTGCTGATGTTAGCAATGGTTGCAAGGTGGGTGATTCAGTAGTAAATGGAGGCTCATCCAAATTGGAAGTTGGGCTGGGAACCGGGAGAACAGTTTGAGATTTCAATTGGTCTGCTAGGGGTTTATCTGGGTCACGTCAGGGGGAGTCCTCAAAATGCTGAAACTGATAATATTAGTGTTGAGTAAGTTAGAAGTTTTGGGTGAAGGTTATGGAGGTTGATTTGCTCTGGAAATCTGTAATCTTGAACAAATATGGGGAAGTTACTCATGACTAGGAATCTGGTTCAGCTTCAGAACGTTACGGTACTAGCATGTGGAAAAGAATATTGCAGAACGGGGATTCATTTTTTTGTTGCGTTTCCTACAGGCCTGGCTTGGGTGAAAGAATTCTGTTCTGGAAAGACAGGTGGTGTGAAGCTAATCCCCTTAGTGTATTTCCCTTCAATCTTTGCTTTGGCGCTTGACAAGGAGGTTCGGGTCTGTGATTGTTTTGAATTATCATCCACTCAGATTGTTTGGGCACCAAGGCTTAGAAGAAAGGCTAATGATTGGGACATGGAATCTCTCGTTGGTCTGATGCAAGCTTTGGAAAAAGTTCAGATTCAGTCATTAGGTGTGTACAAGATTTGGTGGAACAAAGAAAATTCGGGTATATTTACAGTGAGGTCATTACTGAATTCCTTGCTCACTACAGAAGAGCTCACCCCCCCCCCTCCCCCTCTTGGGTTTGGTTTTGGAAGATTGCTATTCCTCTGAAGGTTCAGTTTTTTTTGGCTGCCATCAAGGGTAAAATTCCTACTATAGATGTTTTGAGGAAAAAAGGGAATGATTCTTGTCAACTGTTGTTGTTTATGTGGGGAGGATGAAGAATTTGCTAAGCATATTCTTGTCCTCTGTAGCTACTCTCACAGGATTTGGGCCCATGTTTTAAGTCTGTTTGGTATGAACTGGGTTACTCCCCCAGACCTCGCTACCTCTTGGCTCATTGGTGTGGTCAGGCTTTTTCTAATAAGGGTAAGGTCCTGTGGAAAGCTTCTCCTTTAGTGGTTTGCTGGTGCATCTGGAAAGAGAGGAACAACTGCCTGTTTGAAGATAAAGCCGGTCCCCCTGATAAAGGGTGCAGTTGCTGAAAAAAAAAACCTAGGTCAAATGGACCTCCATTACTGATTTCTTCAGTGATTTTCATTTTAAGCATTTTGTTGATCACTGCAATGCTATATTGTGGGAAGATAATTTCTTGGTGTAACATGAGGGTGGGTGTTCACACAATGGTTGGGTTGCTCTATTGCAACCTGGGTGACCAAGGTTCAAATCTTGGAAACAGCCTCTCTGTGTGCAGGAAGTCTATGGAACAGGGTGTGGGTGGCTTCGGAAGTGGAAGCAACACTCTGGTTTGGGAAGACGAAAGAGGGCGATGACATGGCAGGTCGGGTTACAAGTGGCGAGGTATGTGTAACTGACTTCTCACAGGTGGTCAGTGATGTGGAGGCTGGAAAGGATGTGGGGAAGAAGCCGGGTGAGGCGCTTCAAATTCCAGAGTTGAATGCAGAAAGGGGAATAAATGAGGTTAATGAAGAAAGAGGCTTGCACGGGGAATGAGGATTGCATGGGGAAACAGCATTGAAGGGGGTTGAATCAGCGAGTGGGTGGGGTCCACCATACAAAGAGAAGGGTATTGAAAAGAATTTAGCTGAACCAAATGGTCCATCAGCGGTTCAAAAGAAAATACCGGCTGGGATTACAAACTCACGTGATTACCTTCAGGTGTTTGGTTCCATTTACGTTTATTCAGTAAATGTTTTGTACTTGTATGACTGCAAAACAGAAAAACACATTTAATGATGGCGTTTATGTCATAGGCGCCATTAGGCACCACATCAGCAAAATGCCAATAAACACCTACCTGTTTTAGGAAGCTCCAAAATGAAGCTTCCTGAAACAAGAGAGGCGCACAGAAACCGAAGTTTACTTTTGCAAACTTCGATACACACAAATGCAATTAACGAGGCATTTGCTGATGGGGTGCCTATGTGGCACTTTCAATAAACGTAAATGGAACCAAACATATACCTTATTAATCACTTGAAACTTGGGCCTTCGATAAAATCGAGCGATGGGCGCTCTCAAATTTAGCTGATGTTCCTGCTGTGTCTCCCCTACTATTACATGATGGGACCTATGGGGGTTCAGCGAGAACAGATGAACCCCTTCCAGGAATCAATGATGAGGTAAAGGAGCGTGACACACGACAATCATCGGCTTTCTCTGAACAGGGTACTCGACTGAAGTTTTTGTCCTGCCCAATAGAAAGGTCGAATGAAGGCTACATCGATGATGAGTTCAATGGCAGAAAGGAGAATCAGTTTAGAAGGAAAGGAATCAACAAGAAAAAGTATCCTGGATTCATCAGACCAAATTTTAAAAGGAGTGCAACAACAGGAAGAAGGAATTCGACTGAGGCTAGAGAAAGATTGGGTGATTGCCAGGTATGACAAAAAAGGTAGGAAAGAAGAGGCTCCCGATGAGGCGATGACTACTTTTCTTCTTCTGTGAATAGTGATGCAGGGCTTCTGCCTCGGGTTAATAGGGATCCTGAAGGGATCCAAGGTTCCTCCAAATCTGTGATTACAGATCTGACGCCCCTAGCGTTTAGGGGTGAAGTAGGAAAACCAGATCCAAAGTTTTCAGAAGAGCTTGCCTCAGCAGAAGCAGAGAGGACGGAAGGGAGGGATGAGACAGGTAGGCAGCTCGGAGGAGAGATAACACCGATGTCGAGCTGGAAAGTGAAGGTGTGGTTGGAGGAAAGGGAGTTTCAAATGGTGAGGAACTCCCTAAAGGGAAGGGTGCCAACTATGTAGAGGATCATTTGCATTTTGAAGAAATAAAGGTTGGTAGGTTGGGTGTTGACTTAGGCCAAAGGAGCAAACTTGAGGAGGAGGAACAGACCAACAGGATAATTAACAAAAAATTAAGTAATTTGAGAAACCATAACATTGTACATGTGACAGAGATTTTTTTCTAGGCTCAAAACCAGCCTAGTGGGGCAGGACCTACAAAAAAATACAAATGGATGTATAGAAGGAAAAGAATGAGAGGCAAGGGGATATCCATCCAGACCATGGGGAGGCAACGAAACAAGTTCAGGCTTCGATTCCCCATTCGATGAAGGAACATCAGGAAAAAGAGTTAAGAGGTACTGTAATTAACCCTGGTGAGAACAAGTTGCAGAAGGGTAGTGATACTATTGACAGAGAATCAGGTGATGAAGCTCTTCAGAAATTAGTGGATAGAGAGGTTACAATTGGGAAAAGTCTGCGTCTGTTTTTCCGGGGTGGGGAGGAGTTTTCCAGGAGAGCCTTCAAGGAATTCAAGAAAAGAAAAAAGGAAGACTTGTTGAAGAAAAAATTACTTTCGAAAGGAAGCAAGGTCTGGGATGAGGATGTCTCAGACCGGGAGGATGATGTTCTCGCGGATTTAGACTGAAGGGTGGTGTTTCAGGAAGGGGTTTTGATTGGGTCAGCTGTCGGACCAATGCTTATGTTTTCTTTGGGGATTTGCTTTGGGTCGGTTTTGGGTTATATCTTGGGTTAGATGGGTATTCAAGCCTGTAAGCTGTGCGGTATTTGGTCCATTTTGTGGGTTTGGGGCTGGTATTGCTTTCGGTGATATCTTATCAACTCTGATGTATCTCCCTATCTTTTTAATAAAATTTTTTCTTTATTCTTCAAAAAAAGGAAAGGCTATGTACATCCGTCCCTCCCCAGACCCCACATTCGTGGGAGCCTCATGCACTGTGCTGCCCTTCACATTACCAGAGTTTTGGGTGAAGGTATTGATCGAAAGTAGAACTTTGGAAACCATTGTAAAGGTTCTAAACAATCACCAGTTGGTGCACATTACCAGAGTTTTCTGCCTGCTGAAGTATGGTCTTTCTGGGGTGAGCCTAGGGGTGATCATTTCAGCCCGGCCCGGCCCGGAAAATCCGGGCTTGGGCCTAGGTTTTTTGTTAAGGACCGACCCGGCCCGGGCCCACATCAGGCCCGCAAAATTTAGGGCCGGGCTTGGGCCTAATTTTTTAGGCCTGGCCCAGATATTTATAAATAATATTAATATATATATATATATATATATATCTTTATGTATATTTGTTATTTAAAAATATTTGATAATTGATGTTTTATATATTAAATAGAGATTTGTAGGAGATTAAAGATTTTAATCCTACGGTCTTAGATCTTACCAAATTCTAATCTAGTATTTAATAAAATATAGAAATTACTAAACCCTAGTCTTCTCAGCTCTCTCTCTCTCTCTCTCACACACACACACACCAATTTTACAAAACCACCGCCGTGCCCAATCTCTCTCTCTCACCAAAAGACGAATCTTCCAGTGATGAAGATACATCTGAAGTTTAGAGTGGTTGCAAGTTTTGGGTAAAATTGAAACCATTTTCAATATTTTATTACTTATTTATTTACATTAATTTGAACTATTTTTTCTTAGTTTGCTAATATCTTTTTTATTTCACTTTTTATTTGTAGGAGTTGAATGGAAGATGGAGCCCCTTATAGAGATGTTTGAAGTTGTTTTGTGGATATTACATGACAATGGATGGTTATTTTTTGATAGATATTATAGGTTCTAGGTTGATTTTTTGTTGATAGAAGAATTGGTTTGTTAAAATTATCATTTTTAGCATACTAATGACCAATTGAAACTTATAAATTACAAGGTATAATTATTTAATTTCTTTTATGTTAGAAGCTTTTATCTTGATATTAAGTTTAAAGTTTCTTACAGATTACTATAGTCTCCACGACAATATATGAAGAAAAAGTACAATTGTTTAATTTTGGAACTTAAATACAATAATTAGGCCCAGAATCTTGGCCCAGGCTTATATTTTTAGGCCCATAATGTGGGCTGGGCAGAGCCTGGGCCTAGCCTAAGTTTGTTGTTATGAAGGCAAAGCTCGACCTGGGCCCGGCCCATGATCACCCCTAGGTGAGCCCATGAAAGAAATTTAAAAGTGTATACAATTGAAAGGGGGTTAAGGGCAATGATCGCAAAGCAGGTAGGGCATCTGAGTGGTAGAGTTTGATTGTTAATGGGAAAAAGTACTCCTGATACACACTAGTTTTGGTGGTTGAAGTAGCTAATGATTATAAGGTACTTTCTATGTCACATAGGGCCAGGGATTTTGCTGAAGTTGCTGACAAGAATTTTAGAAATGCTGAAGTGAGCAGGAATGCACAGAATAAAATATTTAGATCCAAGCCAGTTAATCACAATGGCAAATAGAATCAGACCAAGAAGAAACAAAAGGTGATATCCAATAGGATGAAGAGATTAAAATAGAAGAAAAGATTAAAAATTCCATTTCCTCAACGTTGGAATAACTTGGAGGCTAATGAAGGTTTTTTCTAGACAAGGAATGGTTGATGGTTTCTAAATTTTTGGAAAGAGGTATTGAAAGGTGCAGGATTTTATTACTAAGCATGAACTGAAGGTTTATATTATGTATATTTTAAAGATAATGCAGGTTGGGGGTGTTCTTTCTTGGTTTCATTTTTTGGTTTTAGTGATTGGGGCAGTGATTTAGTTAGGGATGTCAGTTAATTTTTTGCGCATCTTGGAAGATGGTGTTGGGTGGTGTTTTGGCTTGCCTGGCACTTCTTTAAGGTTCAGGGTTCAGTGGTTTTGTCGTGTTCTATTACCTTAGTTATTTCTTATCACCTACTCCTGTATTTCCATATTCTTTTAATGATTTCTATCCTTTCACAATCAATATATATTTGGTATCAATGATTTTAGACTGGGTTCAGTACTTAAGGAACATGCCCAGAGAGCTTTTTGGGGCTAACTTCTAGTCTACTCTTTAAGTTGGATTGAGTTGGTTTTTATTTGTTTTTGAGTTCATATACTAGGCGTTTATATACATAGACATATTTGCATACCTCTGAAGAAATTCTCTCAGCAACCTCTGATGCACAAGCTTTTACTTTAGGAGACAATGCATAACTTATGGCATTTGATAGCCCATTTGCAGCTTGCACAATGCTTACATCATCATCTCTATCTGGAACTAAATGGTTCCTCTGTAATGGTTCCGGTGCAACCCCAAGCCAGAACATCTTCTCCGCCCAATAAAACTGATCTAGCATAAATGGGCAAATTATCTGCCACTCCATGCTTGTCAGTAAGCACCACAATACATGCATAAAAGCTTCATAACGACCAAAGGACCACAATCCATTTCAATAAATCCATGCATTCATCCATTCTGATAGATCTATGCATTCAAGATTATCATGCAGTTTACCCGCTCATATATATCAATGTACAAAATAGTTATTCAACCCACCCTATGGATTAGGCAATTTTCCTATGCTATTAAGGTTTTCTATTCTCTTTAGAGAAAAAAAAAATTGAGCTTCAGGGAAAAATATTAATCAAGAGTACCAAAGATAGCTTGATGACCAACAAACTTGGCACCAAGGATCAAAATTTCAATACGATACGTCTGATGGTGTATCGTACCGTATCTTTTGGGTTCCGAAACAGGTGTTTCGGGATCCCTCTTTTTTTAATAAAAATGATAAAAACCAATTTTTTGAAAAAAAAACTAAAAATATATAAAAGTGCAAGGTTTTTAGTACCGATATACCTCTGCCGACACAGGTGTATCGATACTTAGACCCTTGCTTAACACTAGTCATTTACCTGTGGAATACCCGCATGTAGTGCTGCTGCAGTGGATCCACTGACATATGGTAGAAAAGCATATATCAGTCAGTCTGATGCATAATGTTTTAGTATCAAGACACCACTCAAAAACATTGTTTTAATATTAAGGCAATGTGAAGATCATACAGAAAATTCTACCTTCCCCCATGATGAATGGCAACTGCACATCTTTGAAATAGCCAGTTGTATGGCACAGTTCTAATTGACAAAGTGGCAAGAGGAAGTGTCAGTCTACAAATAAAAAGTAAATCTGAATTTTAAACTGATCTGAAATTTCAAGTTCTGCAGAACGAATTCTTAGATGACCAAACTAATCAGACCAAGTGAAATAGTGGTTGAACTTAAGTGAGGTGTAGCTTATGCTAAAGGCCAAGAAACTTAGCTCTTTTCTTTTTAATTTAACCCAAATAGACAATTTCACAAAATTTGAATTATTTTTCTAAAACAAATCCATTTTCCCCAATTTACACTGTATTTTATATCGTTGTTGATGTTTTCATTTATGCTACATTCAGATAAACATATCAAATGGTGGATACAGAAAGTGCTAAGTTTAGACAAATAAACTAGAATAAAGTCTACACATGATATGAATTATGCAGAAAAAAGGTTATTAGTTTCACAGTAGACATTTATGAGCAGTAGAAAAGGGGATTCTGTCATTTCCTTCTTTTCCTTTACGGACTTGATATAACCAGATAAAATGACTCAATGACTGGTTAGATATTAGATTTGCATGTCATTCTTGGAGAGTTCCTAAATATGTATTGTAATGGTTCAGTTTTATTTTCACCTTGTGTAGTGTGACTCCAACCTTCCTAAAAGAAGAAAACAAACAAAAAAGATAACAAGAAAAACTGTGTCATTAAAGAATGGAATTTTGACTTGCTTTTTGTTCACCTTGTTATTGAACATTCTGACACAACTCCCTTATATCCATGAAAAACTGTAAATACTAAATATCAATAAAATTATCAAATTGTAAATGGTTTTTTAATGTAGCAGTTTTCATCCACCCAATATAGAATCAGATTTGCAAAATTTGGCTGAAATTAGAAAAATAGGGTTAAATAGAGTATGAGGAAAATTACTTTGGTAGGTATAAAGGCAAAGCTGAAGTTACAAAGTTACATTGACTTCCTTTCCTCCCTTTTTTATTTTGTTTGTGTTTGGGGGTTGGGGAGGGGGGAGGAGGGAGTGCTTTTTATCCTTTTTTCTTTTTTTTTTATTTTAGGATATTGACAAATAAATCTGTCTTTAAGTCCATACAACCAGAGAAGTTCTAGATGGGGTGTAACATCCATTTTAGTGAAACTTTTCCTAGCAAGAACATATGTAGTTCAAGAATTATTATTGTTCTCTTCCCTTTCTTCATTTAGTAAATCTCCTCTTTCTTTGACTTTCTTGGCCTTGCAAAACAAAACACAAATGTTAATAAGGCCAGTAAAGAAATTCTCACCCAGAAAAGCACAAGAGATGATCACTGAAGAGAAGGATTCCATCTTCAACCTGTGGTTTTTGATCAGAGAGCGAACATGTCTTAGTGGCAATAAGTTGAATAGCAGCATCTAAGGGTTCAAAACCAGCCGTGAGAAGGATGAATCTGTAGCCTGTGATCTCCATAACAGCTTCAAGTACTTGAAGAAATGCTCCAGGGTTTGTCAAGAAACCCATGCTGAAAAATGTAAAGGTATCTAAGTTCAAGAAATTACAGAATAGTGGGGCTGCAACTTGGGTGGGCTCAGGTTGAGCATTTGTTAAAATTTGAATAGGCCTGGCCCAAGCCCAATGCAGTTAAATTCTTCAAGCTGGGCACCGAACTTGAACCCTTACAAACAAGCAGCGAAGTTTAAGCACATTTTGTACTAGAGTAAAGAAGAGAATACATCCAAGAAGAGAGACAATTAAGATAAAGTTAACATCTACCAATTTTCACAGAAACATTTCAGCAAAAGCCTCAAGGCGTTGATGAAACTAACTTAGGAACATTAGTAGCTTAAAGTGTGACATGAAGCACAGTACAAACTGCATAGAAATATTTCCATTTCTTTTTCTTTCAGACTTAGTTTGCAATCGGCATTAGGATACCCATATATGGCAAGGCTGTGGATGAATGAGGTTTCAACACAAATTTTACACCAAGGCTGCATTTGGTAAGAATGCAAAAAGTGAATGCAATGATGTGAATGCAAATTTGTTCAAATAGAAGGGTGCAAACCCAGTTCAGTTTTATTCTCATAAATTTATTGTGCCTTGTTTGGTTGTGATGGATGAAAACATGAATCTCGAGGATGGGACATTTTACATCGACCAGCTCATTTTGTGTGCAAAAACAGTTGAAAAAACAAGTTTACTTTCATTTTCAGTACAAAAACGTATTCTTACCCAAGGTTCGAAGTTATCATATCGGGGGCTTCCCAATACACCCCTCCAGGGGGTGTTTTGGGATTTCGACCAGTTCAGGGGGTGGATGGACCTTAAACCGGCCCCTCTGAACCGGATTTGAAAAAAAAAACTAAAAAAAAAAAAAAAAAAATCTATCAATACTGCCCAATATGCCGGTAGGCGTATCGATATTTTGAACCTTGTTCTTACCAAACACCTGCAAAACTGAAGCAGAGTGCAAATTTGCTTCACTTCTGCATTTTTACTCTTACTAAACACAGCCTTACTTTCTTTCTAGGTGATTTTGTCAATCTTCGTGAACATATTTCTGTCTCATAAAGCCACATGATTATTCTCCTCTTCCTCTCTCATACATATATACATATCTATGTCTTCATGATCATCTACAGAACAATCTTCATGATCATCTACATGCATGCTTATGTATGTACATATCTATGTCTGTATGTGTATGACAACAAGGTAATGACTTGCCTTCCTATGGAGCTTAGCCCTACGAAGATGGGTAAAACTGTTTTAGATGTCTTCAGAAACCAATGTAAATTAGCATGTTGTAGACACATATCATCATTTGTACTAAGATGCCCTGATGGAAGTGGGGTCAAAACTTGTCTGCACTTGTTACATGAATATTGCCATTCTTCAGGTAGAAACCAAAAGCCACATACTCGAACTCTTGATGGCCAATAACCTGTTATCAGCCTTGTGTCAATGTAGATTAAACTAGAGAAATGAAGTTTGACTATTCTATGAAGTTTTTCATGTATGTACATTAATAATGTAGCAGCAGTCATGCAGATTGGAACCCAACATTCAAGTGAATCCTACCGAAGGAATCTACAGAACTAAAAGAACCTAACAATCCAGATGAGATGGCCAATTAACTAATCATGCCAACTTTTAGTATTGAAAATCTCCTGCTTATGGACAGCTGTTTTGTCACTGGTACTCAGACACACCAAAACAGGCCATTCCATCTGTGGTTCTATATATAAACCTCCTATGTTCAATCAAATATTGGAAAATCAAGTTGGTTGATTCAAAAATCCATATTCTAATTCTTACATTTTTTTCCCGTGAGAATCAACATTATTCTATATATCAATTCCATAAGCTCAATCAAATACCTTGTCTAGATCAAATGAAGAGCCCCTTCATAGTCTTATTTTATCAACTTCGCAAAGAAGGTAGATTTCACTTAACAATATAAAATTGGTATAAGTAATATAAAGGTGCAGTAGAAGTAAAATCCACAAACCTGGGCATTCCACCACTTCTTTGCTAAACCCATACCTGGAAAGCACTTTGGTTAGTAAAAGATATCAAAACTCTTCATTAAAAAGAGTTGACACAAGCATGAAAGCTGAAGTAATCAAGAAAATAAACTCTTAACAGTCCTCCATCAGACAGTGCCTATTTAACCACAATAATATAATGCTAGCCATCACAAATAATCATGCTGGTTCTCTCTAGATTGAAGAGGCAGAATTTTCCTTGCACAAATACATAGCATCCATAAGAGTGTAGATTTTTCCCCCATCAAGGGCCTGAGGATCAGGTTCTCTCTAGATTTATAGAGATTTGAAATTGAAAAAGAATGTTCAGTAGTGGTGGCATGGATGAGACCACAATCAGAAGGCCATTGGACACTTTGGCATGGCAAGATTGTCTACAGCTAAGATGACAATATCAATCATAGGGCTGCAACTTGGGTGGGCCTAACCCGAGCCTGACCTGACCCGACCCATATCAAAGAACCTTTCAACCTAAAGGCTTAAGCTGTTAGGTAAGTCCCCCATGCCTTGGGTGGGCCCAACCTAAAGGCATAATTCACTAATATGACCTCTGACATGAAAGCTTATCGGGTTTGGAGTGTGGACAAGCACATCAGGCCCCCCATGCCTTGTGCTGAAACTCAATTAATTATAATCAGGGCGACGAGGATCAAACACTAGACAACTTGGTCAAATAGGCTCTGATACCAAGTGCGCAACTTTCAGCAGTATAAAATAGGGTTTTAATCAACAAGGAACCAGTAGATAATTGGTTAGAAGCAAGAAGAGAAGAAAAGTGAGAAAGAACAGAGAAGATAAGAGAATTTGAGAAAACAGATCGTGAGGTTCTATTGAAGCCTCACTATTTTATTGTTTTAAATTATGGAGAGACAAATTACATTAGTACCCTTAATAGGGTGGCAGCAATAAGAAACAATTAAAGGACCCATTGAGACCAAAAAGACACATAACAGCCCAATAAATAAAAACAACTAACTGACTGGCCTATCACTATTGTCAAAACAACAGATTGGGCTTGCGTTTTCAGGCTCCTGGCTGGGCCTGGGCCAGAAAACTTGGGTTGAGGCCTCCAGTAGCCCAATTCCAAATGATATTGTATAATACACAGATGTAACGCATCTACATAAATTTGTGTGTATGCATTTCTTAAGGACATTTTTGCATATTATCAATCAATTCTACTCCTAATTCCTAAATTGGGCTACAAAGTCCAATAAAATATAAATTTGTGAAAAATATTCAAAAAATACTTTCAAACCCAACCAACCTGGCCAGGGCTGGCCTGAGTTTTGTTGGGTTAAGCTCAAGTTAAGCCTGGGATGGTAAACTCAGGCTTGACCTTGGGTTGGGCCAGGCCCGAGCATGAGGTTTGAGACTTAATGGTTGGGTCTAGGCAAAACCTGCCCAAGTTGCACTCCTTAATTAATTGGGTATCAAGGTCAGTCAGCTCCCTAGCAGATGTTTAGGGATGGGTGGGGGGTTCCTTGTACTGAGTTTTTCTTTTTTTTTTTCCTTTCAGATGTTATAAACAGTTTTTGACTGATTATCTATCTACCTATATAAAAAATCTTACAACAGAAGGGGCGATCGGGGCCAGTCATGCCATGTGGGAAGACCTGTTACAGGATCCTGCATCCATCATAGAAGCAACTTGGTGGGTAAAGTAACAATGGTCAACAATAGCTATGTACAAGTTGCAATTACTAAAACAAGGTCCTAACAAATTTGGTTGTATCGTAAAATGCATAAAAAATTTATTTGAATGTAACTTGTGTTATTACAGGCTAACCGGTAAGCTAGGGGCACTGACCGTGAAAGGGCAAGGACTTAGGTTCAAAGCCATACTTCTCCATGATCCCCACTCTTCTGTAAAAAGCGGCCACATCCAATGGATGACATCTTTCCAGCAAACCTATTGTGTATTAAGGTGAGAAAAAGATTCCATGTGCTTCAATATGAATCCTTCTAATATATGAAATTTTAGAAAATGAGTATTACATAATTAGATAACCAAGAATATAAACAAAAAATAAAAAATACAATGGATAAATATAGCAGAGGTAAATATCATAAGAAAATAGAGAAAGAAAGAAAATAATAGAAGTATTCTCTTAATTCTTATTTGAACTAATTTGGAACTAAACGTTTTATCACCATAGAATTTATGTTATTCCTTGAAGCCTGGTCACTTTTATTACATCCCAGTGCATCACCCACAAGTTATCAAGGCACTGCTACATAATTTTAAAATATCTGTTACCTCTACACCAAAAAAAAAAAAAAAAATCTATTATTTATATCAAAGAGACGAATAGAAAGAACCTTTCATGCTGATAAATCCATTTTTTCTAGTTATATCCCCTCATAAAAATAGATAATGAATAAAGAGTTCTTTTCATCCACCTCTTTTTTTCTTTTTTCTTTTTTTTATCAGTAACAGAAAACTTCATTAATTAAGAAAAAGGTTTAAATACAAAATTATGGGGAGGTTCCACCTTTTTTTTTCTATTGGATCATGCCTTAAAGTCTCAACTAGTACAGAAATACACCATTTGTGCTAATAGCATCAATGAAACTTCTAAATATTGAAAGCAAGTATTTCTTACTTGGTCAACAGGAGACTCTTGAAGATACTTATACAGGAGAGGGAACTCCTTTTTAAATCGGCGTTCAAATGATGAAGGTGCACTGTCCAGTAGGTAAAAAATGTCAAAAAATGCATCACATAATGAATTATCATTGAGATGTATCAGTGTAGAATTTAGAATATATCCAACAGCTTGCCCAGTACTGAAGCAAGATTCAGTTCATCTAAAGGGTATCACTAGCACAGGAAAGTTGGACTACTAATAAAATTGCTCTTTTTTACTGATAAAAAAAATAATTTAAGAAAACAGCATGTTTCTTAATACTTCTTCAAACTATTTCCCTCTTTCTTCCACTGGGTACTGAAATCATTGTTCTGTCACAGTATATTTTCCTAATGCAACCCAATGCTTTGATGTGGTTTATACCGTCTAATTCTTCAAACCTTCCCTTTCTTTGATTGGTAAACCATATTAATGAATCTTAATATGTATGTATGTATATATACAAGTTGTACCCACAAAAAATAAAAAGACAAACAAACACAGTAACAACCAGCAAGTAGCATACCACCAATCTGCATGCCAAGAAACCCAAGCCTTCTTCCACATCCAGACCACCCACAATCTTCTTTTAACCACCCAAGACCCTATTACTCCAATTACGAGCAATAACATTTCCACTTCTCTGTATCCCCCCGCTCTCTTCTGTAGTGGTATTACATCCTACTCTACCTCAATCTAACTTTACTTTCTTATTATTTATTAATGTAATGTTTCTGATTTTGTACAAACAAAACAATGTAAATAACTCATTTCAATAGTTAAAACTAACAATTTTACCTTTAATTTTTATCATCTTAATAAGTTAAAATAACAATTTTTTACTAATTTTGCATCTTTAAGCCCCTTTTCTTTTCTTTTTCATATTTATGCAATGGATAGCCACTAGTTTATGGAGTTTCCTAAAATACTTTTTATGTTTATGCGACATTTAATTAACCACGGTTTCCAATATCTCAGATTCTTAGAAATAATAAATAGACACAATTGCGCAAAAAGCACAGTCATAATTAAAATGCTACCCATAAAGCAATACAAAGGAAGAGATGACCCACTATACATGTCAGGTTCCATGGTCTCCATCTCAGAACAGAAGGGGAAGAAATGACCAAAAGTTTAAGGTCATGAGGAAGTAGTGATGTCAAAGTTAGTTACACAGCAATATAGAATGTACACATCCAGCACCCTAGAGCACTTTGATCACATAGACAAAGGGAAACAATCAGGCATAATATTAAATACATAAATTTAAAGCACCTATTCATTACATCATTGTATGTAAATAAGGAACAATCTTCAAGTACCTATATGGAACAACATAAGGAGCAGCAACAATACATCTAATCTGAAACAGTTCGGCAAGATTCCATCCTTCCTAGTCCATCATTCAAGATATCCAATCAAGGATAGAGGCATAAAGCAATGCTGCTGCCTTGTTAGATGAAGCACTTAAATTGTTATGGAAAAATCAACTGCTCCTAAGTTTTACAAAGCACATACCAGCGCAAAGAAATTTATCAGAATAAAATCACCATCCATTTTTGGGTCATCTCCAAAAACCATTTCCATTATAGACAAGCATTCTTGTCGATGTTCTCTTGCAATGAGCTTTTTCTTCATAGAAAACAAGGACTCAACTGAACCTGGGAAGATAAAGAGCAGTTTTAGAACTTTACCCAACCATAGAGAAAATAAAGCGTTCTTCATTATAATTGAAACCAATTGTACCTAGAAATAAATTAGACTAGAATTTAAAGAACTTAAACTCAATTTAACTATTAAAACCTGAGGCATCATCATCCCGATAAGCAGAAAGAACAGGTGGTGTTGAAACTTGAAAGTAGGTGACATTATTTGCTGCTAGATATGTACTTAAGTTCTGCAACATAAACAATATAATAAAGTCTTATAGTCAACTATGATGAAATTATTGCTAATCAATGAATGAGATAAAAAGAAAGATAAACATCAATAAATATCGATATTAGGTTAAAAGTAAGAGGATTTTAACTATGAGTAATAGTTGAAAATTTCACCTACAGTAATTCAGATAATGCAAGAAAAGAAGAAAAAAGAGAAAGAGAAAGAAGAAGAAAAGAAGTTTCAACAATAGGTTGTGGAAGAAGAAAAGAAGCGAAGAGAGAAAAAAAGAATTTGAACCTCTCTCTCTAGCCCCTTTCATCACTTTTATTAATAATTCCAAGTCTGAGTACAACTACTTGGATGCCCTTAATGGGGCGGCCAGCACTAAAGAGATAATTAAAGAAAATAAAAGAAGGCCCATAACTAAGAAACATAACTTTTAAACACTACTTAAAAGAAATAAAGTACACTAGGGCCCATTCGGCCCATTCTCACTATAGTAATATTTAGTTGAATAAAACAGTGCTAACAAAGGGGATGGAATCTGAAGAGTTTTATAAACCTTGTGAGCTGAATGAGTGATTAGCACGACATGGTATTGACGTTGGTCTATAGCAAAAGCTGCAGCAATGGCCTGTAGACAACAGCTCATTCAGTTATCACATGGCTATTACTATACTAGTCCATGACTTTCACATCTAGAAAGAAGAATAAAAAAAAGAAAGATCATATCATTATTAAACACTGCATTCCATCATGAAATCAAATCTGAGGATAGTGAAAAAGCAAGAGAGACTTCCTAGGGTAAAGTTGTTGCAACATCAACTTGTTTGGTTAATGTGAGAGATATGATATGAGCAACCTAAAAAAGAAAACAATTTGCAATTTCTATATATTTATGAAAATACAAGTAGTAGTCGATCAATATTGAACAGACACTTAAAAGAGAAGAAGAAAAAGAATAAGAAAGGAGGGGGAGAAGAGAGAGAGAGAGAGAGAGAGAGATTTTGAGAAAAGAGAGAGTTGGTTGTTTTGAAACAGACGCCCCACTCTTAAATTTATATACATAGTATCATACTTATAAAATGACTGAATTGCTTACATGGCGAGATAAGATAAAGCTGAAATCATAAAAGACTAATCTTAATCTTATAAAAGACTAATCCTAATCTTATCATAAAAGACTAATCCTAATCTTATCATATTGCTGACATACGAACAGTGGGGACCACCTTAGTGGGGTCCACATTAGTGCTTTCTACACTCTCCCTCAAGTCAGGGATAGATGTTTGTCATTCCCAACTTGCATAGATATGCCTCTAACTTCTTCCTTGAAACCGCCTTGGTGAGAAGATCTGCCAGCTGCATGTCGGAGGTGATATATGGAAGGCATACTTCTTGAGATGTAGCCCTCTCTCTAATAAAATGTCGATCCACTTCAATATGCTTAGTTCTATAGTGTTGTACCGGATTATGGGCTATATTGATGGCAGCCTAATTATCACAGTACAACATCAAGGGTTTCTCATAAACAATACATAACTCCTCAAATAATGATCTCAACCATAGAATCTCAGCTACACCATTTGCCATGGACCTATATTCAGCTTCAGCACTAGAACGAGAAATAACATTTTGTTTCTTACTCCTCCAAGAGACAAGATTACCTCCTACAAAAGCACAATATCCAGAGGTAGATCTTCGATCATTAACACACCCAGCCCAATCAGCATCTGTGTAAACTCCTATCTTCTTGTGATCATTATTCTTGAATAAAATGCCTCTACCTGAGCACCTCTTCAAATATGCTAGTATCTTCTCAACTGCAAGGAGGTGAGTAGTCCTAGGAGAGTGCATATACTGACTAACCACACTGACTGCATAACTGATGTCGGGTCGAGTGAGACAAAGATAGGGAAGTTTTCCAACTAACCGTTAGAATATAGCTTTATCTTCAAGGGGCTTTCCACCCTCTGGACTGATCTTGTGATTTTGTTCAATAGGTGTGTCAGTTGGCTTAACACCAAACTTTCCTGTTTCTTCCAATAGGTCAAGAACATACTTTCTTTGAGAAACAAAAATCCCATGCTTGGATCTGGCTACCTCAATGCCCAAGAAGTATCGTAGTTCTCCCAGATCTTTTACCTCTAACTCTTGATGAAGGAGTTGCTTAAGGGACTCAATCTCACTATTATCATTTCATGTTACTACAATATCATCCACATATACAGCAAGCAAGATTAAGGAAGAATTCACTCTCTTAATAAACAAGGTGTGGTCTGACTGGGCCTATACATATCTGAACCTTTCAAGGGCTCGTCTGAATCTATCAAACCAAGCTCTGGGGGACTGTTTTAATCCATACAAGGCTTTGTTCAACCAACAAACTTTCTTTCCTGTCTTTATACCATAAAATCTAGGAGGCAACTGCATGTAAACTTCTTCTTGCAAGTCTCCATTGAGGAAGGCATTTTTAACATCCATCTGATACAACGGTCAAGAGTAATTGGCTGCAAGAGATAATAGGATTCTGATAGTGGTCATCTTTGCTACTGGTGCAAAAGTTTCCAAGTAATCAATACCATGTGTCTGAGTAAATCCCTTTGCAACTAATCGGGCTTTATACCTTTCAACGGAACCATCAGCATTATGTTTCACAGTGAACACCCATCTACATCCAACTGGTTTCTTCCCTTTAGGCTGATCAACTATCTCCCAGGTATTGTTTCTGATGAGGGCATCCATTTCTACTTTTATTGCATCTTTCCACTCAGGAACTGATAAGGCTTCCTATACTGTTCTGGGAATGGGAATTTCAGCAATGGATGCAAGAAAAAACTTGTAGGAGGGAGACAAATGTTCATAGGACAAGAACTGGGAAATGCAGTGAGTTGTGGGTGTGGTGCAACGGCGTTTGCCTTTATGGACTTCTATGGGAAGGTCAAGGTCATTCAATGAAAGTGAAGGCTCCATGGTGGAAGATCTCTCATCTATAGTATCTGGTGAAGAGACTGTGGTACCTGGATCTGGATTTGCAAAAGGAACTGGGGTTGGCCTGGACTGTTGATGACCAAAATCAACCTGCCTCCATCGTCTGTGATAGACTCTCACATCCCTACACCTCTAACAACCCTCCCCATTACACCCTTCTTCACTTAATGGGACAGGTAAAGGAACTTCTGACGAATTAATCCCAACCTCACTACTCTCCCCCTGAGGAAAAACCCTTGGATAATAAGGTACATCTTCAAAGAAAGTGACATCCATTAAGATAAATCTTTTCCCAAAAGTAGGTTTATAGCAACAATATCCCTTTTGAGTTTGTGCATAACCAAGGAAAATACATTTTGAGGTCTTAGGATCAAACTTGGAACGATGAGGGCCAAGAATCTGAACAAAGCATGTACAACCAAAGGTTTTAAGGGGAACGGTAAATAACTCTTTATTAGGATATAAGAGGGTAAATGGAGGTTTGATGTCAAGAACCCGTCAAGGAATCCTATTGATGAGATATACTGCTATAAGAATAGCATCCCCCCAGAAACGTATAGGCACATTGGAGGTAAACATAATGCTTCTGGCCACCTCCAATATGTGTCTATTCTTTCTTTCAGCAACCCCATTCTGCTGTGGTGTATGAGGACAAGTACTCTGATGGATAATCCCATGTTCAACCAAATAGGAGGCTAATGGGTTTGCAAAATATTCTTTCGCATTACCAGATCTAAAAATTTTGATTTTGACCCCAAATTGGGTTATCAAAATCATCTGATGAAAGATTCGAGTTAATGTCAGAACCTCATCTCGAGAACGCATGAGATAAACCCACGAAAAACGAGTATAATCATCAACAAATAGTAGGAAATATCTGTACCCTCCCATGGCAGTGGTATGGTAAGGTCCCCAAACATCAATATGCACAATTTCAAAGGGAACATTACTTCTATTATTATTTAATGAATAGGTTGTCCTGCAGTGTTTTGCAAGTTCACAACTCTCACATTTCAAACTAGACATCTGGATAGATTCAAATTAACTGGGAAACAAACTCTTTAAAGCCCGAAAAGATAAATGACCCATCCTATTATGCCAAAGCATAGCTTGATTAACAGACTGAGAAACACAAGACCTCTTAGCCTCACTATCTTCCCAATGATAACTCCCTCCAAGCAGATAGACTCCATTTGCCTCACGGCCAGTCCCAATCACCTTCCTTGTCTCTAGATCCTGAAAAACACATTGATCCAGGAAAAAGGTTACTAAAACAATTCTGGTTTTTTGTAATGCTACTAACTGAAAGCAAGTTAGTACTAAGCTTAGGAACATGCAAAACCGAAGATAAGGAAATGACACCAGACAACTTGATGTCTCCCTTGTCAGAAACTAGAACGAGAGAGCCATCAGCAATGGACACTTTGTCTCTACCGGAAGATAAGTGATAGGTAGTAAACAGTCACGGCAAGCCAGTCATATGGTCAGGTGCTCCTGAATCTATTATCCATGAATATTCTATATTACCTGTAGCAGAGGCATGGTGAGCTGAGGCCCGATTACTTGAATGAGCAAAAGCTGAGGTAGGGGGTGTTGATGGTGTCTGAGGAGGTGGAGCTGAATTACCAACTTCATTTTCCAGCCGAATTAGAGCAGCTCGGACAGCAGCTAGGGTGTCTAGAGGAGTGCCTTTTGTGCTAGACGAGGTTGTACTATCAGCGTTAACAACCATATTTGCATTCCCCTTTTTGTTTCTGAGTTTTGTTGGAACTAGATGTGGATGCAACTTCCAATAGGTATCTTTAGTATGTTTAGGTTTCTTGCAATGCTTACATACTAGGTCCTTCTTAGCTTCCTTCTTCACGTCTCTTTCCTTATCACCCCCAAATTTGGGCTTAACTGCTACCAAAGCTGATTCAAAAGGCTGTTGTTGTAGCATAACTTTTCTCCTAGTCTCTTCGTTGTGCACTAAGGAATATGCCTGGGACAAAGTTACACTGTCTCTTGTCAACAATTGCTGTCTCACAATATCATATTCAGAATTTAGACCAACCAGGACTTCAAACACTCTATTAATTTCAATTTGCTTTCTGTAAGCCTGTGCATCCTTCTGATTTTCCCATTCAATTGATTCAAGGTGGTCAATTTCATGCCACAAGGATTTCAAGATTGAAAAATAAACAAAAACTTGTTTCTCACCTTGTTTGAAATTTTTAACCTCACATTTCAGCTCATAAGCCCTAGCAACATTAAGGGGCTGAGAGTAGGTTTCTTTCACAACATCCCATATTTCCTTAGTTGTTTTTGCCCATAAGTAGTTTCGGCTGATGTGTGGCTGCATAGAATTGCACAGCCATGTCACCACCAAATAATTCTCCTGAATCCACTTAGCATAAGTGGGATCCTCCTTAGTTGGTTCCTTTATATCCCCTAGCAAATAATTTAGTTTTCCTCTTCCCTTAATGGTCATCATGGCTAATTGAGCCCATTCTAAGTAGTTCAACCCATCGAACTTAACAATTATAATCTGGAAAGTGTTCTCAGTCATATTACTTGAGCCAGTTCCAAAAACACCCTCCCCTTGGCTCTTGAACTCCATTCTTGGTTAGGGGTTAAGCAAAAAAACACCTTCTATTTACTGTAACAATCAGACTACTGGACGACAGTAGGTCTAGAAGCAGAAATCAGATTCAGTAAAAAAAACTTTCCAATTCACTATATCACTGTATCAATCAGCCTACTGAATCTGAGAACTAATAGCAGTTGGCCTAGATTCCAGCAGAACTGGGTACATAACTCCTAAACAGAGATCAGAGAACAGAAATCTGATACCAGCCAAACTTAAAAAAGAGCAAGTTTAATCTCTTATCCGGACACAGTAACAATCCTGGATTTCAGGGTTTTCTCTTAAAACCCTAGAAGATAAAAGAAAAAAAAATTCTATATAGTCGTACCTCACAAATTAAGCTATCCTTGCTGCTGACCTCAAGAAGGAATAAGACCTTACCCAGAAATTTCTGAAAAAAACTGATCTTGATTCAAAAATCTTCCTGAAATTCTGATCGCCAACTTCAGTTTTGCTCAAAACTAATCTTGATTCTGATCAACCCTAGAAACTTCTGAAAACAGAACTGATCTTTGAGAAAATCTTCTTGATCGCCAACTTCAGTCTTGATGAGATAACCAAAAAAAAAATCTGATTGGCACCTCCAATCTTGATCAAAGGCCTAACCTTGATCACTTAATTCTTCTCTGATTCTTCTTGATTACAAKGAGMACTTTCCAATCCTTGGACAGTTGCTGAAGACTTCTTGTAATCTCCAAGAATCAGTCGAATGAAAAAAAAAAATCTTTCAGCCCTAAATAATTCTCATGTGGTCGGATTAATTAATTCCACATGAGAAACCCTAGATTGAATGCTCTAATACCAAGTAGTCGTTCAAGATTGAACAGACACTTAAAAGAGAAGAAGAAAAAGAATAAGAAAAGAAGAGGGAGAAGAGAGAGAGAGAGAGAGATTTTGAGAAAAGAGAGAGTTGGTTGTTTTGAAACAGCCACCCCACTCTTAAATTTATATACATAGTATCATACTTATAAAAGGACTGAATTGCTTACATGGCAAGATAAGATAAAGCTGAAATCATAAAAGACTAATCCTAATCTTATAAAAGACTAATCCTAATCTTATCATATTGCTGACATACGAACAGTGGGGTCCACATTAGCATTCTCTACACAAGTAAACAATTACTATAAGACTTTTATACTAACTAGCCCATTTTTATTAGATACGGCTAAAATGACAAGAATCAAAACTGAAATACTAATCAAAATGAATTTTCTCCTAAGTCCCAACCATTACAGGTTCCAGCATTGCCAGGTCCACTGTTCATTAACTAATCAATCAACTAGTCAGTTAAGGGCCAGACTGTCTGCATTCTTGACTAGTTGGTCCATATTCATGATTGGTCACCTAGGATGACTAAGCATTGACTAGGTAGACTAGTTGATTAATGACTAGTCAATCACAGTAATCTTAAAGCTTTATTTATTTTTTTATCAATATTTGTTTTGTTTTTTATTTGTTTGCAACAAATTTTTTGAAATAATATAAAATATAGTATGTATTTTGTTATATTCATTGTGTTGCTTTAAAGATGTTATGAAATGTGATTGGATGATGGTATATAAAATAAAATAGGCTTAAAATAAAATAAGGGAGTGGAGTTCTTTCAATTTTTCTTCCAATTAGTGGTTTGTTGGTACAGAGTTGCCACAAACAAATGGCACATCAAATGATCAAGGTTGCACTCTTTCTCTGGAAAGCAAAAGCTATGATTCCCTATCCTAAGCTATCCAAAGTAACTTTTTCTTTGATTTGCACTGTAAACTAAATGTTCAATATCATTCTTTTATTGCATAGTTGTAGTTTATATTAACTTATTTATGAGATTGCATCAATTTCTTAAATACAGAACATTTCTTTTTTTCCTATCAACTAGTCATGGCATCGACTAGAGAGGCCAAAACGACTAGTCATCCCTTCATTACATCGAAAACACTGGCCAGTTCACAGCACAATCATGTCAGGTTAAACTTCAGTTTCTTGAGAAATGCCCATCCAAATGCTACCAAATTGAGTTCTTTCTTTTTTTTTCTATATTTTTAATATAAGGGAGGAGACTCGGACAGGAGATAAAGCAATTCACTTGGCACTTATATGCAAAATACAATCATAATATTAGTAGTCACTACCAGAAAAGGAGGAAAAAAAAGGAGTACAAAACCAAGTATACCCATCAAATACAAAATATCCCATTTCTTGGGCTGACGCTCCACCCCACGTAGTTCAAAAGTGACCAGCTTAACTCCTAAGATGCTATATAACCATTGGTACCTCTGTTCTCGTCTAAGCTCAAATCTAAAACTCTACTAAAGATGATCCAGTATTGCAATTAGTGACCATTAACAGAACAACAGGGCTATTAATTTCAATTGAGTTTTAAGCGTTAATGGCACCTGTGACGCCAATTACAGGTTGAACATCGGATGTTCGAAACTTTTGGCTATAAAATTTTTATTATTCTTCCCTCCTGATAAAAGAAGTGCATTTATGTCGAATGAAATTACTCCACGTAGAGGCGTACAGTTCAACAAGTCTCACTGTAACTGGATGCAGACGCAGAAGAAAGGAGTGAAAAAAAAAGAAGAAGAAATAAAACAAAAAGGGAAAGAGAGAAAGAAAAGTTTAGTTATTACAACAATGGGGTTAACGTCTCCTTTGGTTCCGAACGCCATAAAAACAGCCCGAGGTGTTCTGGTATTCTCCTCCTCCTCCATGCCTGCACTCTCTCCCCACCTTTCTGCTGGGGCTGCAAATGCCAATTGGTATCTTGTTCCAGAGATCCGAAATTCTGAATTCGATTCGTATATAATTGGACCGAATATGGATCCACCCTAATCCAATCCAGTAAATAATTTTCAGTTTTTCACAAAAATTTTTTGGCACTTACGTTACTGATAACTGCTTTAATCTCCCCTGAACTTTTTGACTTCTGCAAAAACCTCCCTTTTCAGTTGGGGTAAATTATACGTAATGTCCCCTTCCGTTATTCACTTGGCCTCTGCCAAAAAAAAGTGTCAAAATACAAATTTACCCTTTTATCTCCATCCGGTAAAAAACAAGCTTTTTACACTGCAGTGAACACTGAACACAAACAGAACCACTGCAATCTTCTTCTCCATTTGAACGTCTCACAAACAATAACTTCTGCCCCCTCTTCCTTCCTCCTTCTTCCTTATATCCTCACTCTACCACATCCTCCTTTCTCCTCTTTTTTCTTCTTCTTTCTGTCTTTCTTTCCTCCCCTCTCTTCTCCACATTCTGATGAACGAAGGAGGATGGCAAATCAGAATCGAATCACTTCATCCGTCACTCCTTGCCTCTTCTTCCATGTTTACTTTTTGCTTTTTTTAGGGTAATTTGCTGGAACTCCTGAAGTTTTTGACCGTTGTTAAAACCTCTCTTGAAGTTTAGTAATTACAATCACCTTACCTGAACTTTTTAATAAAGTTGCAAGTAGACCTCCATAGTAGGGCTGTTCACAAATAAGTTCAAACCAACCAAATCAACCAATCCGGTCCGACCCAAACCAATTTGGTCGGTTTTTCTTCACCACTGGTCGGTTTCAGGTTGAAAAGATGGGTAAATCGATAATTCGGTTCGGTTTCAGCTTTCACACATGAAAACTGAAATCGAACCAAATCGAACTGAGTTATCTATAAATATATTCTTACTGAAATATTATATATAATATGTATATTCTGAAATATATATTTCAGTTTTAAATATATATATATATATTGGTTTTAAATATAAATATTTCTGAAATTATATTTCAGTTTTAAATATATTTCCAGAAAATATATTCTAAAATATTATATATAATATGTATATTTTCGAAATATATATATATATATATATAAAGCTGAAATATATATTTCGGAAATGTATATATTTAAACCAAAACCGACTCAAATCGGCCTAAACCGACCAGGTCGGTTTTGCTTAATAGAGGGTTGGTTTCGGTTTAATTTTTAGGTAACCCGACCAGGTCGGGTCGGTTGAAAAAAAACTAGTAAACCGACCCAACCTGACCTGTGAACAGCCCTACTCCATAGAATTTTTCATAAAAAGCATAAAAATATCCAAAAATACCCATACATTTACTATTGAAGCTGGTTTCTGTGGAAAAAAAAACAATACAACTGTTTTTATCAGTTTCAAAAAAGAGATTGGAAGGATTTGGGGTAGTGATTCATATGAAGAAAAAATTTGAAAAATAAAACATTTTTGTTAAGAGTAACTACATGAGTATTTTGGACATTTTCATGCTTTGTTTTAGAAGATTCTACCATAGGGGGTCTACTTGTAGTTATGTCAAAAAGTTCCGAGAAGGTCATTGCAATTACCAATTAAACTTCAGGGGAGGTTTCAACAACAACTAGAAACTTCAAGTGATGTTTCAGCAATTTACCCATATTAACCTGTAAAAAGATCTTGCAAGTTGCAACCAAACCTAAGGGAGAGATTGGTTAGAGAAGCAAGTCAATCTTCGAGCACTCCACCCTTAACCCACATTGATTATAATGGTCCAAACTCAAGCTCAAGAGCTTTGGGGCATACCCATCCATCAGCAGAAATGCGGTCCAAAGTCCAAACCACCACTTGGTAGCCTTTCTTGTTTGTTAGAGTTCATCTCATCAGTGGGGGCTGAAGCTGCTGCTACCTTTTCTTGATGGCTCTTGCGCTTCGCTAAGGATCTGGCTTTAACATCTGTTATTATTGATGGTGATTCTCAAACTTTCAATTAATATCCTATTGGGGACTTGATTCTCAAACTTTCATAAATATCCTATTGGGGACTTCACAGACAACCAACCCCATTGGAGATTTCATTGTACTTGTACCATAGCTGAACTTGGGAGCTTAACGTCTACCCCTCCAGCATTGTTCGGTTTAGTACTATTTACGCTCATGTTCGTTTTATCATACAACAACCAGAAATTTAATAAAATAACTCAGAATTCTATGCATAGTTTTACATTAATTGTTGTTTGGTGCTAGTTAGTTATCATATAGACAAAATGGTGATAGTGTTGTTTTCATTGCAAGAAATGCCAAAAGGACATTTTCTTCAAATATTGTTCTTACAAAATCCAAGGCATTCAATGTATTCGAAAAACATCTTGAAAATGCTCAACCAAAGAAGAAAAAGTGAGGAAGAGAACAATAGGTTTACATGGCTCTAACATGGTGGAAACGCCATTGAAAAATGACTCTAATACCAAACACCATATCGTAATGCTGCTACTCATCACTTAGCTAAGTTCAGTTCTTTTAAGATACCAAGTAACACTTTGACAACATACTTTGCTTCTCATGTTATTTCTTCTGAACAATGTAACTGATTTTTTATGATGAATGGAATTGCCTTATGACTTAAAAAAATAATATAATGATATTTTCTACTAAAAAATAATATATAATATTTGCATTATTTTAGTTTAATTTATTAATAGTATTTAATATTCATTTTTTGGTAAATATATCCAAATTTGATCACTCTTTAAAAAAAAATCAATTTTGATCAAAACCCCATGGATAATATCCAATTTGAATCTAAATAATAAGAAATTAAAGTTGTCACTTGATATATTTTATTCTCTTTTTTTGGTATTGCATACCACATATTATAGAGTCAATTAAAAAAATCATAAATTATTGTTCTTATTATTTGAATAATAAATAATTAAATAATATAATAATATTATTATTTTAATAATAAATATTATTATGATAAATCATATTTATTAATAATAAAATTATTAAAGTAATATTTTAGTATATTATTTATAAAGTTTTAGTATATTAAGAGTGTGCTACTAATAATAAATAATGAATAAAATGTACAAAAGGAATTTTGGGGATAAATAATAAAAAGGTTGTTAGGTCAAATGTCAAATGTCTGAAAAACAAGAGATATTAAAAGAGTAGTCTAATGTCTGAAGTCTTTTGATTTTAAGACATTAGAAGTTGAAAGCATACCAAAAAAACAAAGCCTAAGTGTTGGACATGGGATCCAATACCAACCCAAGCACTGACTAATTGAATTTTCAATAATAATAAAATAAATGGGGCAACAATAGTCAAGTTATTGATGGATTCAAGTCCACTGGGATCTATTATCCACAAACTATTTCCACATCCTTAGTTTCCTACCTAAAAAACACCACTGCCATGCATTGGGGACATCTTCCCATTCCCATGAATGACACAGAAGATATTCCCAATTTACAGTCATAATGTCCCATGGGTAGGGATGTGGGAATTGAATAACTTGTGAGTAGCAAATCTGAGCCCATTCAATTCACTTGAACACTGGGTCCCTAATTAGAAGTGGTAATTTGTGCTCTTGCATCATGTCAAGATAAGGGTATTTAAATACATAGATATTGATGATGAACACAACATGATTAATTAATAGTACATGTTAATTAGATTTTCAAACATGTATGAACACGATTTATTTATCACATGGGTAACTTGTTAACTCGTTTATTTAAACGGTCATTTTCAATTAACACCACATGACAATATAATCTCGACAACCCATTTAACTCTATCCTAAATAATACATATAATTCAAATTAACATGAAACCAACACGCTATATATATATATATATATATATATATAATGTAGACCATTATCAGCATTTTATCTAAATATAATGTAGACCATTTATATTAAGGGTCCGTTTGGTTAGCAGGAAAAGAGGTCTGGAATAGGAATCGGAATGGGCTATTCCGATTTCAACTGTTTGATTGGGAAGAATCGGAATCTATTTCCATTCCTACTGAATGGCATTCTACTATTTGAGGGAATGGCCATTCCCTGGCCCTCCTTTGGGAATGAAATCCTATTCTGCTGATTTTAATTCTCATTTTCATTCATGTCTGAAACAAACAGACTATGGGAATGGACCATTCTGATTTCAAATCTTGATTCCGATTTTGATTCCGCTTCTGACTGCAAACCAAATGGACCCTAAATGATTTTTTTTTTTTTTTGTTATAAATAGGTCTAGTTAAGTGGGTCAAAAAAAATTGGCACATTCATTAATCATGTTAAACGACTAACGTAAACCCAGACCCTCTAAACTCGTGTCGTGTTCAAATGATGTTTACACATCGCGTGAAATATTGTTTAACCTAGCCCTAACACAGCCTAAATCTTGGGAAGAACTCTTACAGTATTTCAAATCTAACCTTAGTATACCAACCAATTATTACTTTACATGCTTATCTTCCGGATCTGGTTAATGGGACCTAAACAATAACAGTAAGCGACCATCTAATTAACTAATAGTGCCGACTTGTATGTGGTGTAGGAAGTGGTAAAAAGCCGTTGAGCTGCCAACAACTTTTTGAATGCCAACTGAAATGAGAAGGGGTCTCTCCCCCCAGCTTTAGAAAACCTTTACATTCTCTCTACACTCCTGCAATATTTCCAACTCATTAATTCAAAACTCCCCTACTAAATCATATGTGCTCCGTTCCCAAAACTACTTGCTCGAATCCAAGCCCTACTGTGTTGCCTAGCTTCCTCCTTGATACTCCTGTCATAGCTAGGGGGTGGTGAATAACCATGGCCGTCCGAGCCAAGGTCCTGATGATATGGGTCTTCTGTCTAGTGTTGCTCTCCGCCAATCCAGCACAAGGGATTGGTGTGAACTGGGGGATTATCATGTCCCACCCCTTACTTCCAGCCACTGTTGTCCGCATGCTCAAGGACAATGGGATAAAGAAGGTGAAGTTGTTTGATTCAGATTCTTGGACCGTAAATTCCTTGGCAGGGAGCGGTATCCAAGTCATGGTCGCAATACCAAATGATCAGCTTGAACGATTTAGTGATGACTATGATAACGCCAAAGACTGGGTGCATGACAACATTACATCACATCTGTACAAGGGAGGAGTTGATATCAAGTAAATAATTAGCTAGAACTAAACAATTAATTCTGGGTTTGTTTTTTAATTGAGAGCTTGTAATTATTTATATCACACTCTCTCTCTCTCTCTCTCTCTCTCTCTCATGTTCCTGATCAATTTACAGGTATGTTGCGATTGGAAATGAGCCTTTCCTCAAGAGCTACAATGGTAGATTCACCAATCATACTTTCCCAGCATTAAAGAACATCCAGAGAGCCCTGGACGAGGCCGGCCTTGGGGATAAGATCAAAGCTACCACCCCCCTAAATGCAGATGTCTATGACTCTTCAACAGGCACGCCATCGGGTGGGAACTTCCGTAAGGACATAAGGGAGCTCATGATCAAAATAGTCAAGTTCCTCAACGCCAACAATGCGCCCTTTGTCGTCAACATCTATCCATTCCTCAGCCTCTACCAGAACGACGACTTTCCCATGGAGTTTGCTTTCTTTGATAGCGACAGCAGTCCAATCGTCGACAATGGCATCAAGTACACCAACGTCCTTGATGCCAACCACGACACACTTGTCTGGTCGTTGAAGAAGGCCGGCGTTCCCAACCTGAAGATCATCATCGGCGAGATTGGGTGGCCTACCGACGGACACAAGAAAGCCAATGTGCACTACGCAAAGAGGTTCTACGACGGCCTGTTTAAGAAGCTGGCAAGCGACAAGGGCACCCCATTGAGACCCGGGAAAATGGACGTCTACCTGTTCGGTCTTTTCGACGAGAACATGAAGAGCATTTTACCAGGTTTTTTCGAGAGACATTGGGGCATCTTTCGATACGACGGCAAGCCAAAGTTTCCGATGGACTTCTCCGGCCAAGGACACGATAAGCTCCCGGTGGGTGCAAAGGGGGTGCAATACTTGCCGGCACAGTGGTGCATACTGGACAGAAAAATCAAGAACGTGAATCTGGTGCCGGCCAACATGGACTACGCTTGCACCTACGCAGACTGTTCGGCTCTGGTGTATGGAGGGTCGTGTAACGGCATGGACATTTACGGGAACGTATCATATGCATTCAATATGTATTTCCAAATGCAAAACCAGGATGTTCAAGCTTGTGATTTTCAGGGATTGGCGGTTTTAACAACCAAGAATGCCTCTCGAGGGTCTTGTCTCTTCCCGATTGAGATTGTGAGTGCCGGTGAGAGACTTGAATTGAGATCTACGACGACACTGTTTTTGATTTTGATGATTATTATTAGGTTCACATTATTGTAGGAGGAAAAGCAATGGGGATTGAAGAGAAGAAATGTCAGCGATTTTTTAATTTCTTTTCTTTTTATTTTTCTTCTAGTTAATGTGATTTAATTTCTTATATACTTTCACTTTTAATTTGTTAGAAAAAAGTATACTGCTTTCACATAGGGTGTTCATTATATTATATATATGGTCTATACTCCCAAAGTGCACTGAACCAAACTGAAATTGGTTGGTCTGGTTTACCCTCAAACGGTTTGATTTGGTTTTCTAAATTTTAGAAACAACACCAAACCATAAATCAAACTAAACTAAATTATATGTGTATGTATGGTGGGCTTTCTAATTGAGTTAAGCCCAATAGTTAAATAGCCCAAACCATATTAGGAATCAGACCAAACCATAATAAAACTATTTGGTATGATTTGGTTTCTATGCTAAAATGGTTTGGTTTGGTCTAAGAAATTCTCAAATTGTAATTTACTAGTTTAGTCAGAGATTTTCTTCAAATCAAACCAAAGCACCAACACCCCTATACTTGCACACATGCATAACATGTTCTCTTACACTAGTAACTGAGAAAAAAGTATTGATATGGTCCCAACTTTCATTGGATGGCCTTGTGTATAGTAGCTCTAATTGAACATTTGCTCAAAGTTTTAAAAACTGACATGGAAATGAAAAAACTTTGACCATTGATTTTCATGTCAGCAGTCTAACCATTTGGATCAAATGGTTCAAACACTTGAGTTCATTCTAACATCTAATTTTAAATCTTAACCTTTTAGATTAGAATATTAGGGCAGGAGGGATGTGGATGCCAACTGAAAAAGAAAGAAAGAAAGAAAGAAAAAAAAAGTAGTATAAGAAGAAGAGGAGGGAACAATGACACTAACAGAGACAACAACAACAACAGTAGTAATTACTACCACCATTCCCTCTCTCCCTCCCCCCCCCCCCCAAGTGGCTGATTCTAGGTAGGGGTGTAAATGGATTAGATCATGATCCGATCCGATCCTATTTGATCGAATTCAGATCACCCCTATTCAGATCTTCAGATTGGATCGAATCGTATAGTAGGATCCTATCAGAAATCAGATCGTACTCGGATCACCCCCTATCCGATCTGAGAAGATTTGATTTGATATATATATATATATATATATATATATATATATACAATACATATATGTATGTTATTCATTTATTTATTTATAAATATATTTTTACAAAATTGGTATATTATTTAATTTTTTATAAAAAAAACATGTATATATATGATGAAAATAATTAAAAATACTTGTATTTTTTGTTTTTACTTTATTTAAATTAGTATATTTTATTTTCTTTTAATAATTTATTAATTTTTAAAGAAAACAAGTCGGATCGGATCAAATCTGAAGATTTGACTTACCAATAGGATTCAAATTCAAATAAACTCTTATTAGATCCGACATAAACACTATCAGATAGGATTTGAATCTGATCCAATCCGTTTGCATCCCTAATTCTAGGTTGAATGATTAAATCATCCTATTTTAAAACCATGCATTTTGTAGTGGGTATGATAGGTTGGACTGGGTTTGACCATGTATATGATATATTCCTCCTTAACACTCCTCATACCAATCTTACAAAAGTTTGTAGCCGCATATTGGGAACACTAGTAAGTATGTACATGCTTTGCACGTGAGCAAGTCTAGATGATGATAATGATAGTAATAGTGTATCCAAAATTTTCTATAAAATTTTATGCATTTTTTATTTTTTGTTTTTAATTATTAATCGGATGCAAATTGCCAAATCTAAATTGGATTATATAAACACTTCATCCAAATATGTAATAATCGGATCGAGTTGTAAAGTTTCAGGTATCATTGATAGGCCTACCTGCTTGGTTAGACTCTTTTTTTTTTCTTTTGTAATGTTTTATGTTTTATCAAAAAAATGTAAGATTTAAATAGAGAGAATCGAATGAGGTGAAAAGTAGTAGTTCAATGTACAATTTAAACCTTACAATTAAATAGGGACTAAATTCAAAAATGAGTATTTTAGTCAATATAAAGTTCCACAATCTTATTTATATTTTTAATAGCATTGTATATATAGAATTATACATGTGTTCATTTTTTTATAATTTTTTTTTTGTATTTTCTTGTGTAAAATTAATTATGACATGCCACACTTAAATTTTGTTTAATATGATATCTATCTATCTATCTATCTATCTATCTATCTATCTATCTATCTATCTATCTATCTATCCATCCATCCATCCATCCATCCATCCATCCATCCATCCATCCATCCATCCATCCATCCATCCATCCATCCATCCNCCATCCATCCATCCATCCATCCATCCATCCATCCATCCATCCATCCATCCATCCATCCATCCATCCATCCATCCATCCATCCATCCATCTATCTATCTATCTATCTATCTATCTATATATATATATATATATATAAATTGTTTATTTTTTGCAAAATTTATGTTTTTTTTTTTATTTTTATATTTTATTAATTTTATTATTTATTTATGACATTAAAGGTTAATAAGTTTGACCCAAAAGTTAAACTATTGATCTTTGCCAAATAGTAAAATATTTTTATTTTTGGTTAGTTCTAAATTATGTATATCACTTTCATCATCAATAAAAATAATTCTTGTTTATTACACTTATTTTTTATTTTGATTAATAAAAATATCATAAATATGTTTAATTTTTTTTTCTTTTTTTTGTAATTTTCTATATTTATTTATATTTTAAAAATTTTATTACCTAACTATGACTTCATAAATTGATTGATTTGATTTGGATGGTTGAATTGCTTAGCCACCACTTGGATAAAGAATGATTTTGTTTTTGAGTCAATTTTAAAATATATAGATTTATATTGTTAAAAATATTGACATTAGTAGCATCTATTAATAAAAAATAACTTGAATATAGGATTTAATAAGAGAAAATGAGAGTTAATAACTTAAGTATAAGAGTTAATTTGGAGTTACCACTTCATCCCTTACAATTAGAGATGGATTAAATACACAAATATGGGCATTTTCAAACTTTCACTTTGCACGTGCCAATTCTAGATGGTGATGATGATTGTAATAATGTATAAAAAAAATTCTATAAATATGTATTTTTTTATATATTTGTTGTTTTTATTATTAATCGGAAGCAAATTGCAAAATCCAAATCTGATTACATAAATACCTCATCCAAATATGTGATAATTGGATCGAGCTGTGAAATTTAAAGTATCATTAATAAGCCTGCCTGTTTGGTTAGATTTTTTTTAATGTTTTATCTTTTTGGTATTTTTTTTGTTCATTTATCAAGAAATGTAAGAAATTGAATGAGGTGAAAAGTAGTAGTTCAATTTACAATTTAAACCTCACAATTAAATAGAAACTAAATTCAAAAGTGAGTATTTTAGTGAAAAGAAAGTTCCACAATATTCATGTTTTTAATAGTAGTGTAATATAGAATTATAGACGTGTTCTATTTTTTTCTATAACTTTTTTTTAGTATTTTCATGTGTAAAAATAATTTTGATATGTCACACTTACTTCTTGTTTAATATGATAATTACATGATATTATATTATATATATATATATATATATATAACCCTAAATGCTTTTTTTTTGCAAAATTTATGTCTTTTTATATTTTATTATTTATTTATGATATTACATTTGACCCAAAATTTGAACCATTGGTCTTTGCCAAATCGTAAAATAATTTCATTTTCTATTAGTTCTAAATTATGTATTTTATTTTCATTATCAATAAAAATAATTATTGTTTATTATACTTTTTTAATTTGATTAATAAAAATATCATAAACGCATCTAATTTTTCTATATTTTTGTAATTTTATATATTTATTTTTATTTTAAAAATTTTATTACCTAACTATGACTTCATAAGTTGATGACTTTGATTTGGATGGTTGAATTGTTTAGCCATCACTTAAATAAAAAATGGTTTTTGTTTTTGAGTTAATTTTAAAATATATGGGTTTATATTGCTAAAAATATTGACATAGATCTTAATTAGCAAAGTTTTTAAAATTGGACCAAACAGGGAATAAGGGCCGGTTCTCGGGTCAAATTGTCTAAATGGACAACCCATTCTATCAAAAAAATAAAAAACAAAAAAAGGCCAAAAACCATTGTTCGGGTTGACGAGTTGACTACCTAGGTCAACGGTTCATTGACCAAATCAATGTTTTTTTTTTTGCCAAAGAGCGGTTTTTGGGTGAAATGGAACCAGTCAGGTGACTAGTTCCTAGTTTTTTTGGTATCACCATCCGATCTAGTCTGGTTTTGAAAACAATGCTAATTATTAATATTTATTAGTGAAAATAACTTAAATATAAGATTTAGTAAGAGAAAATGAGAATTAATACCTAAGTATAAGACTTAATAAAAAGGGATTAAATGAGGTGGAAAGTACTAATTGAAGTTACATTTTTAACCCTTATCATTAAAATAGACTAAATACATAATTATGGGATTTTTTTAGCTATTAAATCTGATATTAAAGCTATAATAAAATAAGTTTTATAATCTTTCTGGATAATTTTAATCCAAAAATTTTACATTGAATTCACACTATAGATATATTATAGATATAAAATGTTCTCAATGCATGAATGGATGAATGTGCTGCGAGGGTAGCGGAAATGTTCCCAACGGTTGGATGTGCATATCGGAGGTAATTGCAATTAGCAAACTTCAGTCGGTTTCAGCAATTTACCCATTTTTGGTAAATTACAAAACAACACGTGCAACCTCTTCCATCTTCAAATCTTCATCCCTTCCTTACCCGGCCCGGTTGGCTTCGTTTTCCTAGAGAAGTAAGAGAACTCAAAAGCAGCAGATTTACCCAACAGGTCTCTCTCTCTCTCTCTCTCTCTGTTTTTGATGCTTCTTTATTCTCGTTTTCCATTTCTTTACTCGGAGAAGGTACAGACAATTGTTATATAGAAACCAGTTAGTTCATGGAGGTATATTGTATGAAGAAATGCTAGATTGACACTTAATTCTGAAAGTTACTGGAATATGGGTATCCGAAAATTGTCTGGTAATGCCAAATGCATGAAGAATCCGAAACCTCCACCTTCTGTTGTAGTCGATTTTATTCTGAACAACGTCAAGAATGTTGAAGTCGCATTCTTTTGTCAATTGTACAAATTTTAGGTAAAAGAGAGGAGAAAAAAAGAATTTCTAGGACCTTAATGGGTCCTCTAACGCTGTTCGTGGATGCCAAAAGCTCTCCAGCTGACTTTTCAGGTAACAGGTCACGCTGAAGCACTTTACAAATATTTCTTGGTAAATTCTATGAGTTGAACTAGCTTTGGATGTTCTTAAATTGGTTGCATTGTGTCGAATGATGTTGAAGGCTCTTACATATAGATAAACAGTTTTTTTTTTTTTTTGGTTAATTCTTGCAATAATCTTTATCAACTATGACTAGATGAAGTCTTTTCTCGTAAGTGGCCACTTCTCCACTTCCTTTTCAGAATTTTCAATATCCATACGTTCCATCTCTAACCTCTTAAATAAAAAGCTGTACACTGTTTGAAAGGAAGCGTGGCTTTGATTCTTCTTTTACCTGAAGCTATCAAAGGATTATGCTATAGGGAACATTCTCGCTGAAGTCGAAAGAGGAGTCTAGGATACAAGGAAAGGGACAAATCCAACGTGCCACATACAAAAGAAGAATAAAAAAAGTTAAAACTTTTGGTGGCAAAAAGGATTAGATGTAATGTCAATGTGAGAAAACCACATCACCTTATCATGAGTTAACCAAGGAAACATTCCTTTATTCACTTTATTTTCTTGAAATTGCTTCAATGTGTTATCAATAACTAAAAAGGAGTTATTGAGGCTGCATCTCGTGTAGATACCAGTGGGTGGGTAGGGAGGTAAATGCCTTGGCTGATCATCTTGCTAAACAGGGTCTACTAGAGACCATTTATTCTGGGCAGCATTGTAATTTTATTTCTGATCTCTTGTAATGGTTAGGGGAGGCTGCATCTCGTGCCTCTCCAAGGGATTCTTGTAAAATCTTATTCCTCTTGTTGAATGAAATCATTTTCAATTATCAAAAAAAAAAAAAACTAAAAAGGAGTTAATGAATGGACTTGGGAAAACAGGGTATTCTTGCAGAAACCCAAGCTATCATATTGCTACAATCTCCTTCAAAGTTAAACAATGGATCTTTAAATCCTTGGTCATCTTTAGCTGATTTAGAAGTGCTAAGATTTCTCTTATTTTCTGCATGTTAACAATTGAGCCATCAAAATCATCAATTGTGGTGAGATTATCAAGTGTCTGGTCTCTTTGTTGCTTCCAAGGAAATTTATGTTGAGGACACCCTAAATTGATTGGGCAGAATATCTTAATGTCCAGAATCTAGAGCAAGAATTGCAATTCCTTTAAATGTCAGATCAACTTCCATTTAGTTCATATGGGGAAATGCTTTTGAAATATGGAAAGGTCAAATCTGTTTTGTTAAATTAAGTGGGTGTTCAGCACCATAGTGTTTCACAAGTGTTTTGTTTCACGAGCTATCCACATTAGAAAAAACAAAAAAATGGAAATGCTATTTAATTGCAAACTGTTTTTTGAAAAAAATGTTGCTGCAATGATGAGCTTTGGGATTTTTTAAAAGAGACGTTTCTTGAATCACCAAAGTGGTGTGGCACATTGAAATTTGAAAAAGCTGACAGCTTTTTTGAAATGTTATACAGTTGTCATATGAATATATTACAAAACATTTTAACGCCCAGTAAGCATGCATCTCCACCAAACATGATTTTTTTTTTTGTTTTTCAAAAAAAAAAGTAGAAATGAAGCACTTATGAATTGGGAACACTTGTGAAACGGAATGCCTGTGAAATGCATTGGTGCCAAACACCATCTAAGTTACCTCAATTGCATGATGCATCCCAGTGAGAGGGAAGAAGGCATTTTCAACCATATTGTTTATTTATAAATGTGCAGATGCATATATGCTCCATTAAGTGCACTGATTGCCACATAGTTTTACTGAACTATTAGGGAGAAGGGACACCTTAACAGGGTGTGAAGACCGGTTTCCTCTACCAAAATAAAAAAAGAAGTTTTTTTTTTTTTCTTCTCAGTCAGCACATATGACCTGTTGCTGATTGCTTATAGTACGAGCAAGTAATAGCAAAACACATAGGAACTGAATAATCATTCAAGAGGCTTAGGAACCTTTGTCTGTGTGTGTGTGTGTGTGTTTTGATAAGCACTTAGGAACTTTCTGTGTTGCTTATTAACTTTTCAATATAATGTTGTGAAAGGATTGAAGATTTCCCCAATGGGTTCAAAGTCTTCACACGAAAATCTGCAATGTTTTCATAAGTGGCGATTACTCCAACTCAAGGAGAATAACAAATTATTTCTGCAAGGATTTTCCAGAAATAACACCTGCAGTTTTGGATAACAAGAAGTGAAAGAGCTGGGATTATTGACGTATGCACTAACAAGAGTTAGAATTTAATTACTTAAGTACTCATCCACCTTGAATTTTGTTTCTTTTATTCTTTATTCATTTGCATTGCATGTTTCAACTCATTGTACTTGATAGGAACACCAGTTGAGTTAATCGTGGTTTAAAGTATTGATACACCCCAATACCGCCGGCAGGGGTGTATCGATACTTTTTTACCCCACGCTTTTTATTTTTTTAGTTTTTTTTTTCAAAATTTCTGTCTTACACATTTTTTATATTGTTTAATCAATAAACACCCGTTTCCTCAAAACACCTTTAAATAGGTGTATTGGAAATCCAAAGATATGATATGATACACCTGATATGGGGTGTATCATATCAATGCTTTGAACCTTAGAGTTAATACCGTTTCTGGGATCATTTTCTATAATGTCTCAAATTTATTGAGGTATTATATGTCATTTCAGTATGTTTTGGTTTTATGTCCAGAATCAACTCTATTGTTACTTTTGAGCAGGTGATATGGTTTTGCAGGTTCACACAAAAGCAAAATATGTAATTCTCAGTGGGACCAACGGAAGTTCTTTGCATCAATTAGCACAAGTGAAGAAAAGCCATTCAATTTTTTACGTGTTTTATTTGGTATGCTCTATGAATTTTTCTGAAGTTGGATTTAGGTTTTGGATGTTTGAAGGACAACTTCTCAAGAAGGTTGGTTTTGTTTATAGTTGGTCAAAATTATTTCACTTTCAAAACACTTTTTTTTTTAGAAAAAGGTAAAGTGTAATGATTATATTCATTAAAAGAACCCATGTACAACAAGGGACTGTACATTGGGAATTTACATAAGATTTCTGAAAGTGATTCTTAAAAAGAAAATAAGAATAAAAAAGAGCTGTATGATCTTCCTTTGAATGATTCATGCCTGGTCATCCAAGAAAATAACATCCCTATAACCTTCTTCGCAATCATAATCTCTTCCAATGCCTTGTTTTCAAATATGTGTGTATCTTCTACGCGGAATGCTAGCAGCAACCCAATTACCTGGCAAGCTTGCAACACACCTAAGAGTCTGCATGAAAGCATGCCACAATACAACTACCATGGGCCCAAGGTGTCTGTGCTGGTTTGAGTGTTTCACTTTTAATTTAATGAATTTTCTAGTAAAATAATTTGGAATTTTATGAAACAAATAGTCATTTGACAATTTGGAAGACTCTAAATATTCATAGAAGAAATAATTTTATTATTGTTGTTTCTTTTTTTTTTTTTATAATGAAAAGGACAGTTTCTAAAGTAAAATAGTTTTAAGGTAGGGGCAATAAATTCATCAAAGAATTCTTCTTTTATCTTTTTCTTTGTGTCTTAGTAAGTTGGAGGCGAAAAAAACTTGTAGAGCTTTTCAATCAAAATAAGGAAAAATGAGAAATTGAATCTGATTAATCAATAAATGGTTATATGAGAATGGTCTTCCATGTTTTCCTTTTCATTATCAATAAACTTTATCTTACAAATAAATACAATATCTAGATACATGCTATGATGCTCTGTGGAATTTATATATCTCCTTATTTTTTTATATCTCTCTCTCTCTGTATACACACGCACACATGTTTTTGTTGTTGGTTGGGCACAAACATGCTTGCTCTGCGTGAGCATTAGAAGTTCATTAGGCAATATAATATATCCATCTAGCTATTGTATCAAGAAATTTAAAATAAGAGAAAAAGTTCTTACGAACAATGATGTTTTTATTATTGATCAAGGGGCACATGTTTTGTTTGTACTGTACATGAGAACAATCTTCTTGATTTTGTCAAAAAGTGGACTGCTTTTACTGATGTAATCAGAAAGGTTCAGTCCAGCTGGTTTTATGGGGGTTTAGTTTTTTGTTTCTAGAATTAAATTTAAGATCTGAAACTTCTTGCCTATGCTACAATTTTGTCTTCGTACTAAGGAATAGAGAGGAAAATTTAAATTGGTATGCTTCCATGTTTCTAATTTGCTGTTCTGGATCTTACAGAGGGAGTTATAGCAGGAGGTACTGCTGGAGTCATTGTTGAAACAGCTTTATACCCAATTGATACAATAAAGACTCGCCTGCAGGCAGGTTAATTAGAGAGCAAAAGCCATTATGGTTTGTCCTTTTGTTGCATGAATTAATATGAACATTAAAGTGTTTTGCAGGTTAGCCACAGAAATATTTATATGCTAGCTGGGGTCAAAATTGGGTAATGGCCTTTTTTATTCATGAGATGGGTAGCCTACTTGAAATCAAGTTGAAATTTCCTGCAAAAAGCTCTCAAAATTTAGTGTGTTTATGTGGGTTGGGTATTTAGGATAAAAGCTTTTTAACACAGATAGAACCACATAAATTGAAGAAAAAAATAGTAGTTGAAAACATTAATCTAATAATAAGAAAGAGAGTGCAAACTAAGTAGAACAGTGAAAGATGGCCTTTTTATGATTGGCCAAGCTACACAGAAAGAGAAAAAGTTTCTCCCAAAGAAGAAAAAAATTCTATTAAAAAATTTCTTCATGCTACCATTCACAGAACTATCCATAATAACCCACTAGAATTCATGAAACCTTGGACCATTGAAACAACTTAGTGGACCAATATTCAAGTACCAAAATGTCTTAAAAAATCTGTGTTTAATGATTTTTTACTTTTTTCAAGGCAAAAATCTTTGGTACCTTATCAACCCAACTAAATCCAATTAAAAATTAAAATTAAAGACTGCCAGACTCCTCTATGTTGGGTGACACATAGTAGTGAGCTTATATGGTTAAAGATCGAATTTTGACTTTGACCAGAATTCATGTTTCTATCAATTTGTAAAAACCAGCTTCTGTACAATTCCTGGACGGTACCTTTCCACTTCTATGATTGATTGAAAATTTAAAACAGTGTAGTAGACTCATAATTATCACATATCCAAACCTATGCAAATCCAGTGGTTGGATCATGAGATACAAGCACCCCAGCAGTTACAATCAAGAACCTAGTTGAGCTGCTGTATTTTCTTTTGATTAGGCTTCTTTGCATTGTGAGTAATCTTTGAATTGCATTTTTATCACTTTTTCTCATCATCACATTATCTAAACCTAAGCAAATCCAGTGGCTGGATGATGAGATACAAGCATCCAAATAGTAACAATTGATAACCCCGTTGAGTTTCTATATGTTTCTTTTTATTAGGCTTCTTTGCATTGTGAGTAATCTTGTGAATTGCATTTTGATAACTTTTTTCTATGGTTATGGTAGGGGCATGTTAGAATTTGTTACCATCTTAATTCCATGGCCCACTTTGTGGTAGTTGGGGCATGGCTTGTCAAGTTTTTGGACAAGGATCTCATTAGGTTACTTGTAAGAGCTGTGGTGTGGGGGTAAGATGCTTCAGAATATATATATATATATATATATATATATATACTACTATGAAGGAGGAAATAATATTTTCTATTTTTTTGAGTTTTGGTCTCACAATATATTATCCCTTTTGTTTTTAGCATGGCATTTCTGATGTCACTTGTAAGTAGACTTTCTAATGGAATTAAAATTAAACATATTTGCTTTGATCCTCCAGGCTTGTGGTTGGGTTACCGGGGGGCGGTTGTATGTTGTGGGGTTTTAGCAACTTGGAAAATGCTCATGGTCTACTACCACAACTACAGCAGGGAGGGTTGGATATACCTTTGTTATTATTCTAGTAAAATCTCTGATCAGTAATGTGCATGTATATGTGTTTATATGTGCATAATTGCATGAAGGGAATTATGTAATTCTTCGATAACTAAACTTCTCTACAATTGTTTTTTAATATTTTTATATTTCCCTCATAACATTATCTCATAAAACTGCCTGTATTGGTTTTTTCTATTTTCAGGCAGCTCGTGGTGGAGGAGAGATTCTCTTGAAGGGCCTTTATTCTGGACTGGCTGGAAACCTTGCTGGGGTTTTACCGTAGGCTCCTCATGCTGATTGGAAATATATCTTAACATTTTCTTCTGAAATTCATATTGGACCTTTTCATTTCAATATAATTTTATGAGTTTTACTTGTACTGTACTGTCTTCTACTTGATATGCCTTTCAGGTACTTCACAGTTCCAAGTCAAGGTCTAGGTTTCAAATTAGAGTTTACTTATGACAAGTTGTTCATATTGTGTTCAGCCACTACCCCACTTTCATCCTCAATGTCTTGCACTGTACTTTCCTGACTCCTGACATTGTTAGGTCCCATAATTATGCTAAGAGACTATCAATTTGTGTTAAAGATGTTTCTGAAAATGTGATCTCTGATCTCCAGACTGAACCATATCAGCACCTCCCTGTACCCAATCAAAAGAGAGAGCCTAATGAAGGAGGAGAACTTGGTGGCCAATAAACTGAAGGAATGGAGGAATATTTAAAGGAAATAGAAGGATTTGTGATGATTTCATGATATTGGGTCAGATTTGGACTAGTTGTAACTTATAACTATGGCCAGAACTTGATCTTGATAGATCCTCTGATGCAGGACAGGAAGGGGAAAATCTGTGTCTGTATCTGTGTTTAGAATTTTAGGAAATAGAGAGTCATATCCCTGTTTCCTGTACCTGTATCTGTATCTGGCATCTTTAGTAGATAGTTAACTATCCATGTTGATTTTATATGAATCCATCATTTATTCTGCCCCCTTCTGAAAAGAAGGGAAGAATAAACTACAAAAAAAAGCAATTCTCATAATGTGTTTGTCCTGTTACATCCTCAAACTGCTTATTGGCCCGAATTGGTAAACAATGTTGTTTCTATCCTGCAGGGCTTCTGCTTTGTTTGTTGGTGTATATGAACCTACAAAGCAGAAATTATTACGGAGCTTCCCTGAAAATCTTAGTGCTATTGCTCATTTGGTAAGTGGGTATGAACTGATGGTTAACCTGGTAATTTGTTTCAGGAACTTAACTAACTTTATATTGTTGAATTCTGTATTTTTTTCTCTGTGCCTGGATGAAGAAGAAAAATGACCAATCTTTCCTTTTTTTAATTATAACAATCCAAAGTTTGCATTAATATAAGCAAAAAGTAGTGGTATGGCCAAAGTATGCCCCTACAAGAGGGAGGGGCCCCAAGAAAATGAAGTGGAAGCTGGCATAACAAGATACAAGAAATAGAACCTGAATGAACCATGTACAATAACTATATCAGCCTCATTACCACATCCCTATTGAGACTATTGATTAAAAAATTAGTTGTCCTTAAAATCCACCTAAACAAGCTGCTCATTCTTGAAGCCATGGGATGTCACAATGATTAGGGACTAAATGCGTCATTGGTCATCTGACCAATTATTACCTTGTCTCCCTCATTCTCAACCATCTATATCCCTATGGAAAAAGAGCCTCTAACTGTATAGAGGGATAAGATCTCAGAATTAATTCAATCACCATACTCATTCAGGCCAGGGTATACCCAGATGATATTTGCCCTTCTGATCTCCATAAGATTCTCCTAAAGCGAGGGTTTGAATTCTCAAGAGAGAAACCATTTCAATGCATCTTAATGGCAAGGTAGTCTGGAGCTCTGCTGTATTAATTTCCTCATCTTTTCTTTTGTTTTATTTTTGGATGGGAGTTGAGGAGCAATTACTGGTGTAATGAAAACATGGGTACATGTCTGAAGGAGACCACTCCCAAGACCGGGATAGCTGGGACCAACATTTGTAATAGCCTTTTTTATGTATGTGAAAGGAGGGGGGGGGGGAGTGGGGAAGTAGGCTCCAAAACACTTCGGAGCCACCATTAAGTACCAAAAAGAGGAATGGAATGCTTCCAAATGTCTGTTCCAAATCATCAATCTTCATTGCATTTTACTTCAAAATTTCTTATATAATGTTCATTATCATCAGTTGAGCATCTTCACTTATCTATAGACTTAATCACGGTCACCCTACTTGTATGATAAAACATATTTTTGCAGAGGAAAAGAAAGTAGTTAAGACCTTTACATATTTTCAGAAGCCAGCCTGTTTAGCCTAGAGATTTATGCCCTTGAGCAGCCTATAACTTTGAAATGGAACCTTTATGCTTGCTTCATGATTTGGTCAGATAGTCCCCCTTGATGGTGTCTTGATGACTGTAGTCTTATTTCCTGCTAAACTCTGGGCTTGAGTTTGGCTGTGTATTCACTTCCTCATCTGCCACATTAAGAACCTTTTTACCCATTCTTATTTTCTGTCTCTGGCAACAGGCCTTCCTTTTGTCTTTTCTAATGGATTATCAGACTTAATGTAGACTGCAGGTGCCATTGGTGGAGTTGCTGCTTCTCTCATTCGTGTACCAACAGAGGTAGTTAAGTTGACTCCTTCACTCCCCGTTCTTTAACATCACTTCACCTGTCTTGTTCTCAGCTTCAATAGTTTCCAGGTTGTCAAGCAAAGAATGCAAACTGGGCAATTTGCTTCAGCTCCTGATGCTGTCCACCTTATAGTTGCCAAAGAGGGTTTTAAAGGTCTTTATGCGGTATGATTTTGTTTCTCTCCCTTAAAGGTTCCTACTTCAAGTAGTTACTTCATTCTGGAATAATTCGGTTTCACTTTTATAGAAAGAGTATGTAGATTTGTTGTTTTGAGGACAGAAATTTGGTGTGGTTGTACACTGGTGAATGAAGCCATTATCTTTTCTTTCTTCATATACATTTTTTTTATCAATAACAACAATTTCATTAGTCAGTCTATAAATATGGTACATAAAGGGAGATAAATTTTCTTTTCTCCCCCTACTGAGGCCAAAGCCCCAAACAAAGTTTGAAATTACAACTGAGCCCAAAATAAAATTTCCCTACCCACCCCCAGCTTTGCTAACTTATCAGCAAATGGGTTAGCAGATCTCTTCACCCATCTGAACTTCACTTCCATGTCCTTGACCAGCCACTTAAACTTTTTCCTTTCATTGCTATACCCCCATAGGCCAGCCTTATCTTCTTTCAGCCACCCTACTACCACCTTTGAATCCCCTTCAATTACAAGTCTCCTGAAAATTCATTTCCTTTGCTTTCTGGACACCTTCCACAGCTGCACAGATCTCAGCTGAGAGAATCCCCCGTCCCTATTGGGCCTGAGAACAAAGCTAAAACAGTCCCATTCTCATCCCTAAACACACCCTCAATTACCTGAAAGCCCTGGTTCCCTCTGCTACTCCCATCAAAGTTCAGTTTTATGAAGCCGGAAGGGGGGGATTCTAGGACAATCTCAGGTCTGTTTTGACTTGGTTACAATTAGCAATCTCACTCCACTTTCTAAGCAAGTCATCCACAGTGAAATCTTTGAACAACTCTGAGGATTTCAGCCACTGTACTACCCTGAAATGGATCAAGTCAATCAGGTCTTCAACCCTCCTCTCTTTTTTTCAGAAAAAAGTCTGTTCTTTTCCTCCCACAAAAACTAGCATACTGCAGCTCTTAGGCATCTCCACATGGCCCTGCCTCTTTTACACTGCCACCTGAAGAAGGAAGAAGAAAATAGCATCTGCAAGCTCAACGGAGGGAACCAACTGCACCCAAAAAGGGATAATGCCCGTTCCCAAATCACTCTTGCATACTGGCAAGAGACCAACATGTGAAAACCAGTTTCCCCATCGGCTCTATAGATAACACACCAATGAGGAGATAAGCATGTCTTGGGTCTCTTTTTTTTCAAGCAGATCACTAGTTGACTCTTTCCAGAAAAGCTTCCCAACAAAAACTCCCAACCCTAGAAGGAATTGGCTTACCCCAAATCTCTTTGACAGGGAAAGGAGGGTCCATGGGACTGGTTGGCTCAGCTAAGGCTTTGAAGAAAGAAGCACAAGAGAACAAGCCCGAGGGGGTGGGTTTCCAAATTCTGGTGTCCTTTGTGGGGTCCAGGAAAATATTTTCAAGAAGACCGAGGAGAGTCGAAATGTTGTTCAGGTCAGTGTTTCTAACATCCCTTCTTAACCCCATATTCCAACCGAACCCCGAGTTGGAAGAAGATGGGACAAGGAAGGAAGAGATAGGCTCATTTTTCAGATCAGAGAGGGCATATAAAGATGGAAATTGGTCCTTCAAAGGGGTGCTCCCTAACCAAATTTGTTCCCAAAATTTTATGAAATTTCCAGAATTTAAGTCATACCTGATCAGAGGGGAGAAAGCTGATAGCAAGTTGTGGATGGCTTTCCAGGGTTAGGCATTTGTAGTGCTTGCTAGAATTCTGGGATCCCATCCATTGCCTTCCAGTCCGTGAATGCTAGCCACTATTTTAGCCCACAACTTCTCCTTCTCTAAAGGAAACCTCCATAACCACTTCCCCAACAAAGCCTCATTCCCTTTTCTAATATTCCCTAGCCCTAGCCCTCCTTGCTCCTTACTTCTACACATTATCTCCCAACCCACCCTATGGTCCCTCTTCTCCTCTCCTGGTTCCTAGAGAAAATATATCATTAGTTTCTCTAGCCTATTAGCCACCTTTGCAGGAATCTTGAAAATTGACAAAAAGTAAATGGGCAGATTGGCTAAGGTAGCTCTAATGAGTGACCAAGAGAAAGGTAGTTCCTTTTCCAAGAAGTGAGTCTCTTCTCAAATCTTTCCACTACTGGGTTCCAAAAGCCTTATTTTTTAGGATTGTATCCTAATGGTAACCCTAGATAGCTCAAAGGCCAACTTGACACTACACACCCCAAAATCTCTGCACACTCCCTAACCTCCTCTTCTCCCAAATTCACTCCTACTGACTACACAACTTTTCTCAAAATTCACTTTTAAGTTGGATATTTGTTCAAAAACTTGTATCACCAATTTCAAGTTTCTAATCCAACAAAAATTTCCACCCTCACAGAACAGTATTGTGTCATTTGCAAACTGTAAATGGGTAAGGGGTAACTCCCCCCTTCCTACTCTCCACCCTCTTATTAAATTCCTTGAATTTGCTCTATGAATCAATCTCCCCAAAATGTCTGCAATCAGTGTAAACAGGAACGGAGTGGATCTCTTAGTCTTATTTCCCTTAAGGTTGGGAAAAAAATCTACCATTAACCCATTTACTAGCACAGAGTAGTGACACTTCTGGACACACCCCATAACCATTTGCACCATCTGTCCCCAAACCCAAAGTTTACCAAAATCTCCTTCAAAAAAGACTAATCCACTAAATCATAAGCCTTTTCTAGATCTATCTTGCACACCACCCCTTCTTTTTGGCCCTTTTGAAGTTCTCCAAATTCTCATTGGCAATTTAAATTTGATCAGTGATCTGTCATCCCTTTAAAAAAGCTCCTTGATTTGGTGCAATGATAACTGGAAAAACTTGCTTTAACCTTAAAGACAACACCTTTGTAATTATCTTATAAAGGCTATTTACTAAGCTGATTGGTCTGAAATCCTTTGGTTGAAGAGGCATCTTTCTTCTTCGGGACTAGTGTAATGAAGGTAGAGTTCAAACCAAGATTAATTACTCCCCTTCTATAGAATTCATCAAAGACTAGTATTATGTCCCTTTCCAAAACATCCCAATAGTCTTGATAGAAAGCCATTGTGAAACCATCCGGGCCTAGAGCTTTTGTTCCGCCAATAGAAAATACTGCCTCCCTGATTTCCTCCACTTCAAATCTTCTTTCCAGCCGTTGCCTATTTTCTGCCCCTATATCTGGCCAATCCAATCCTTCTACACACACCCTCCCATTTAGAGGCCTTCTAAAGATGGACTTAAAATGTTCTATAAGTGCCCCTACTATCTCATCCTGGGTAGTCAGGACAGAGTCGACAGATCCATCAACTTCCAATCTAGAAATGGAATTTTTCCTCCTCCTGCCGTTTGCCATAGAACAAAAATAACTAGTGTTTCTGTTGCCCTCCTTTAGCCACCTGGACCGGGATTTCTGCTTCCAGCTTACTTCCTCCTTATACACCCACTCTTCCAACTGCCTCCAGCTTGCTTTCTTCATATACTAGCTAGGTTGAACTTGTGTTCCCAATGCAAATGGAGGAAAGATAAGTATCTTATCATATGGGAATATGAAAATTAATGCTATCAATTAGGGTAGTATGGGAAACATGAGTGGAATAATTTTGACATGGGGGAGTAGATTTATGCTTAATGTATATTTTAATCCATGTGAAGGTTCTCTTTGTTTGATATCATGAAATATTTTTGCATTGCTATTTGACCTTTCACCTTGAGACTGTAGGGATATGGGTCCTTTTTATTGCGAGATTTGCCATTTGATGCCATCCAGTTCTGCATCTATGAGCAGCTTCGACTGGGTTATAAGCTAGCAGTAAGTTCATTTTGCTATTATTAGATCTTACCTGAAATTATTGGAAAGGACTGCTTGTTGGGTTTTGTGTAGTATTTTCGTTTCATAATTTTTCCAAAAATTTCTTAATAATGGACAAGCTTTAAATTTTATTTTGTATATGACAAAATTCTGTGCCTTTGTTCAAGTAACCCTGTTATTTTATTGTTGAGTAGGCATTATATACCCTGCCTGTACACACTGTCTTTATTTTATGCATCAATTTATGGACAATAATTGTCATTTTCTTGTTTAATTTGTCATGCAGGCAAAGAGAGATTTAAATGATCCAGAGAATGCTATAATTGGTGCTTTTGCTGGTAATTTAAGGCCCCACACCTCCTTCTAGTTTGTGTTTGTCCCTTCTTTATAAAAGAGCTATTACATTTTGTTTGTACATTCCCATACCTATTTGTCATGACGACACCTTTTCTTTTAGTTCTAAAAAATCATTATGGCACAAAATCTTTTAGCATAATACTTTACCATAAGGCTGAAATGAACTAGATTGATGGTTCAGGTATTCTTGCATAGATATTCCTTTAATTGAATATTGTTTTGAAGGTGCATTAACTGGGGCCATAACTACTCCGCTTGATGTGATTAAGACAAGATTAATGGTTCAGGTACACTTCGTTTCTAACTTTTCCTAACTGCTTTTGCAGACATTGGTTGGTAAGGTTTGGTTGAGTTGCATGCAATATCTCAATTTTTTACATATATTGTTTTTTTTTTTATGAATTTGTTTTACATATATTATGCTTCATTTGGATGCTGTTTAGCCATTCTATTTTTATTTTGTTGTATACAGGGATCAGCAAACCAGTACAAAGGAATTTTTGATTGTGTTCAGACTCTTGTTAGAGAAGAAGGACCTTCGGCTCTTTTAAAGGTACCTTTGTTTCACCATGTAACTTGAGTAAAATATTGACGTTATTATTCCTTATTCAATTCTATCAGTTTGCTAGATATTTTAATATAGGAGCACATGAGGCATAAAATAGCTTCTTCAAGCATGTGAAGGCTTGAGGATAAAGCACCCTTTTATCATTATGTCTTTATATAGTAGCATTGCTGTTAGAGAGAAGAAGAGAGGTGAGGAAAAGAAGACCAGAGAGAGAAATAGGAACTCTTTTCACTTGGACTCAAAGATCAGCTAAATGTATGGTAAATGTATTGACCAAACCAAGGGGCTAGTAGCACCCAACTGTAGGGGGTCATTCCCTGGGAGACTGAAAGTATAGTTGTCAAGGCATCACCTAGATGCCCTTGATTGAGAACCTAAACTGAATGCCTTAACTTATGTCAAAAAAGCACCCACCTAGATAACAAAACTCACAATACAGGCCTTATCATATGTTGATGCCAGTAACTTTCAAGTGAATCAAGGAAAAGAGAAAAAATCATAGCCCTAGACATGTTGGTGAGAAAATCCTAGCAGGAAGAAATTGGAGAGCATCTCAGAAAACATTGTCATACTTTGCCTGGGAAAATTTCATGTATCTTGAACAAAGGAATTCTCGCTCTAATATTTTTTCCTTTTTTTGGTTGTTTATCTCAGGGTATTGGGCCAAGGGTACTTTGGATAGGTATTGGTGGTTCAATTTTCTTTGGTGTTCTTGAGAGGACAAAGCAATTGCTTGCTCAAAGGCGTCCTGAGGCAGAAAAAGCAAACTCTAAACAGCAATGATGGTGGTTATGTCTACATTGTTCATGTTCCTTTGTAACACCTCAGTTTGATGATTTTGTTTCATTATGATTAACTTAGAACCTACACCTAAAAAGCAGGAAAAAGTCACTATGATGCAAAACGTTCAAAGCATGTTGTATAGATGACTAGTTATGCTTCCATCAATTCACCTTGTTTTGGATTGACTAGCCTATCATAAATTAGAAGTTTACGTTTTAAATTATTTTTTTGGTTGGGTGATGTTTGCTCTTTGGTTGTTGCAGCTTCTTGCTAAAAGTTGTCTGGGTTCTCTGTGACTTCTAAAGCTAAATCACTTGACAGGAACCTTTGCATGGGGAAGATTGCTTTTTCTGTTAGCAGTGCCATTTAGGGCTATTGCTTGTTATTGGTGCATGGTGAAAAGAGATTTTGAGGGATGATTAATCTTTCGGGGTAAGAACTTGCGTTAAGCAAGAAAGAAATATCAAATGTAAGAAATTATTCAAAACCCGGACACCCATGCGGTATGCATTGTTGATCTAGAATCAATTGCAGACTGGGCCTTCAAACAAAAATCATACATATGCTGCTTAAAAGATTGGATAAATATGAGGAAAACTAAGTCTATTTTGGTTATGGAGCTCTGGCTCCTCTGTCCCGGATAGCCAGGACCAACTTTGGGTAATGGCCTTCTTTATTACCAACTGAGCCACCATAAGTCGGTGGATGAGACTTCATCTTGGTGTCCGTATTGTTGTGTAAATAGACTAGAAAAACCCAACATCTCCATGTGACGGTGACAACATACTGTTATTCTCCTGAAGCAGGGTAGGTTAATTTATTTGAATTAGATAAATCTATTATGTTTAGTATCCACTCCAAAACAGCTTTTAAATCCATCAGGTTTATATCTACATTTTTTATGTCAAAACATATCTGATTGACAGTGGGTTGGCATGGCTTTGCGTTCACGTTAGGAGTGCATTTACCATTAACTAAATTCTAGAGTTCTTGAGTGGAAAATATTGTTAGTCATCCTGTCTAACAGGTGCCATAAATTGAACAATATCCATCACAGAATATAAAATTCATGTTTAAGAAAAAAAGTGCAAATTTAATGTCAGTTATAATTTTCGTCTAAAAGAAACAGGAAAACCATTTCTTACACAACAATATTACTTATTCCTAATGCTTGTCTGCAATAAACTTCTGGCTCTTAGAACTCTTTAGCATGTAAATTCCATTTTGAGCTTGCTGAAGTTGCCAAGATATTCCCACTGCAGCGCTTGGGAGACATATTGCTGGTGGGAAGACTTCTGCACCCTGACGTTGCAAAAATTAATATTGTAATAAAGGCTCTATGCAAACAGCAAGAGCTGCCACTGAGTCATTTTGTGAGGGATGGACGTCTCTAACAATAGAACTAAGAGCTTTGAAAGTGGGGGCTCAATTGACCCAAGCTATTCGAGTTCAGAAACTTAAGTTAAAGACAGACTTAGAAACTTCATCTATGGAGACATATTTCCTACTAGTGGTCGAAGTTCCATATGGTCTTCTGCACCTCTCGGATTGTCATCAAAATTCATAATGGATGAAAATTGAAATTATGGATTGTTGTGGGTCGTTTGAAAGGGTAGGTTTTTATTTTGTTACCGGCGGGGACCTGTATGATGTACGGGAAAATCTGAAAGTTTATTAGTTTTATTAATTGATAACTTGAAAGATGTCTTTTTTTTTTTTTTTTTTTTCAGAGGTCAAAAGTACAGGATGGTTTAAATGAGATCGGCTTCAGTCAGTGCAAGGCTCGTTCAGTTTTCAAACAGCCTTGCATCGGGAGATATTCCCAATACAAGGCTATGATGGCTGTTGGAACGAGTTTTGCACTGACTGAATCTGGTTTCAGTTTAAATACCCATTGCAAGCTGGATTTCATCCTAGGTCTACACTACAATTAGGGGTGCAACTTGGGTGGGCTCAATCTGAGCCCGAACTGGCCCATTCTGAAATTTTACAGAGTCTGAGCTTGGGCTCAAGAAATCTGGCTTTTCTATTTTTTGGGCCAGGCCTGGGCTTAGCCCTTAGGTAGTTTGAGCCAAGCCTGACCCAACTATACACATGTATATATATGTTAATTTTGCATATATATATATATATATATATATTTGTGTATATATACATTTGTATAAATATTTAACTATTTACATACATATTTTGCATACATATATACATAAATATATGTATACATATTTGCATAAATACATATATGTGTAATTTTAGAATGGGTTCATTGACCAACCCAAGCCCGGCCCGGCCCCGAGTTCATCAAATTATAGGGCAGGTTGGGCTTGGGTTGGGAAAATCAGGCTTGACTTCAGGCTCGGTCTGGGCTCGGGTTGACCATAAACCCGGACCAACCTGCCCAGCTTGAACCCCTAACTACAGGTAGCAGGAGACCTTATAGAAAGAAAAACTTAAATATCTTAAAAATCCTTGGTATAAATATTGATATGAATAAATTAGTTTTCAAAAAATTAAATTTCTGAAATGATATGAATAAAATTTTCAAAATTTATTGACATGAATAAATTAATTATCTAAAAATTCTGAATTTATGAATATTAATTACTAAATGTAAAAATAGTAAATTATATTTTTTAAATTAACTTTCACTAAATTAAATTACCAAAACCATGAAGATTAGTTTATGGAAATCACTAAATTAAAATTTCCCAATAAATACCAAAAGTCAATGTAAATTACCAGTAATTATGGAAATTATTAATAATTACCAAAAAAACAATTTAAATTACCAATAATTAATTATGGAAACTATAAAATTTTATAATTTAATAATTTTCGAAAAATATTATTTTTTAATAGTTATGGAAATATAGTTAAAGCTCCCCAATAATTTTCCAATTTAATATTTAATAGTTACCAAAAACCAATGCAATTGAAAATATCAACAAAGAATTTTTATTGCCAAATTTAGTTTTTAAAATTAATAATTTTCTAAATAACCTAAAAATTATTTTTTTTTGAAAATTTCAAAATAAATAATTCTGTGAAGATTACGAAAACTTTCAGGTAATAATTATAAAATTCAGATAATACTAATAATAATTAATTTCATATAACAACAATAATAATAATAACAATAACAACAACAACAACAATAACAACAATAATAATAATAATAATAATAATAATAATAAAGTTAAATATAAAAATAATTTTAGTAAACTTCCTTAATTATTGATTATTTAGTCATTATTGATTGAATAAATAAAATTTCAAAATTTTATGTATTTATGAATAATTAATTATTAAAAATATCAAAATAAATTGATATTTTTATTATTTTAATTATCCTGTACATTTAATGTTTGGAAAGTTTCCACCTTTGTTACGAAGGTGAAAAGGGAGATAGGGTGACATGACTAGAGGCTAAGAGCCTAATGATATGGTAAAATGAGGGGTTTGAGTAGGGTGAATGCAACCCCGTACTAAAACCGACTTGTGTTCATTTTCATTGTTTTAAAATTGAATTTAGATTAATAATTTTTACTTCTATTAAATTTTAATTTATTTAGTAAATTGTTATGATGCGTAATTTAAGTTAGGATATTATGCTAATTTTGTTACTATTTAAAATTTTTAATAATGTTAGAATTTCTTAATTATAAATTAAGTAATATTGTTGTAACTAAATTTAACAATTATAATCATTAAAATTAAAAACAATAATTTATTTACATTTTCTATTATGTTAATCATTTTTAAATCGAAATTAAATTTTATTATTTGTCTTATTGTCTTATTTGTTTTTTTTCTCTAATTAGTATTTTAGATATTTTTTACTCATCTCATTTCAATGCTTGAGTTTTAACTTAAATTGTTTCTAAAAGAAGTTTTAACCTAAATATTAATATTTTAAAACATTGATGAATTTAGAAGGTAGAGAGAGGGAGAGGGGGGAGGAGGGTGGGAAAGAGACAATAGAATTATATGGTTTATTAGGCATGTGAGATAGATTAGAGATGCTTTAGGATAGGAAGTTTTAGGTGGAGGAGATAGCTTAGGAGAAATTTAGGAGAGGAGATTATATGAATGGGAATAATATATATATATATATATATATATATATATATAGAGAGAGAGAGAGAGAGAGAGAGAGAGATTTTAGGAAAATTTTTATTATTAAGGGGGAAAGGAGAGTCTATAATAGATTGTTTAAAACATGGCATGGAATAAAAAGATCAAAATATTAAAAAAAGGGAAAGTAGAGACTCTCTTTATATATATATATATATACACACACACACACACACACACACACTAGTGGGGACCCATTAAGTGAAACCTAAACAATAAAAACACACAAGAGTATATAATTGTTTTATATTTTAATTTTTAAATAATTAATAATTATTTATATTTTATATATTACTTTTAATAATTTTTTTTATAATACAAAAATAACAATAATTAATTTTGGCTAGGATTGTTCATCAAACAAATGAAACTGACCAACTCAACCCGAGTTGGTTGGTCTTCTAGTATTTCCAATCAGCTTTGGTTCATTAATTTTCAAACCCAATCAGGTTGGGTGAGTTTCGGTTTGGCCATTTGTAAACCGACCAAAACCGAACTGATCCAACTATGGATATACATTAATACTTTATATTTTAAATATAATTTTTTAATACAGGAAAGTGGGAAATTTTCATATTTCTTAGTTTAGCTAAAGTATTTTATATCATGAATTTAATTTTTGATTTATTTTTTTAATAATATCAATGCAATTTTTTAATTTAAATTTAATTTTAAGTTAAAATTTTTTGAATCAACTGACTAAATCGAAAATTGACTCAAATTGATACAACCCGAGTTGGCTAGTTTTCACTAATGATCAGTTGGTTTTGGGTGACCAACTCCCCAACCTGACTAGGTTGATTTAGTTGGCCAAAAAAACCTGCAACCAAACTAAACTGGCCCGTGAATACTCTTAATTTTTAGCTAAATTAATACTCTAATTTCTAATAAATAACAATAGTTTAATCACCAATAATTATTAAAAATACATAGTAAAAATACACAATTATTGAAAATAAATAACTAATAAAAATACAATAATTACAATATCATTTAGCTTTTGGTTAACAATAAATATATTAAAAATAAAATAAATACTAAAAAGATATTAAATTACTCAATAAATAGTGTAATCTCAAAAAATAGTTTGATCTCTAACAAATATTAATCAATAAATTATAACAAAAATAGATAATTATTAAAAATAAATTAATAACAAAAATACAATAAGTACAATAAAGTAAATTTAAAATGCTAAATAACAGTAGTTTAATTTACAATCATTATTGAAAGCTTTTTGTTAAATAATAGAACAAAAATAGATTTATACATAACTATTGAAAATATATTTATCACGAAAATACAACAAATAATTACTGAAAATACACTAAATATTAATTTATACATGTAAATATATAATAAATATAGGTTAAGATTTTAAAATTATTATTAATAAATATTAATTTTTTGAAAGTTATTTTCTAGAATTATTAATTGATATAAGTGAAATTAGTTGTTTAAAATAATAGTTATTTAATAATATCATTTTTAATTTTTTAAAATATCAAGTCTTTATTAATTTTGTAAACTATTAAATTATTATAAATTTTAATATTATGAAATCTATTATAATATTTTTCTACTTTTAGGATTTTTTTTTAAATTTATTACATACTTTCGTTATTTTAACTATTTAAAATTTATTTATGTTAAATATTTTATTATTTAAAATACTTAGTTGTTTAAACATTTAAATAATATGTAAAATATTTATTTTTTGTCTGGATTTTATTTTTTAAAAGTTATTACATAATATTAAATATTTTTATATAATTATTTAGCTGTTTTTAGTATTTTTTTATTTAAGATATTTAGTTATTGAAATATTTAAATAATATTTTATTTTTTTAATTTTAAAGTTATTATTTGAATAAGATTTCAATTGACTAATCTGTTAAAACATTATTTATGTTGTTAGTACATAATTTCATGTTGAATTTTGAAAAATATAAAATTATTAATAATATGGATATTATTAAATCTATTATAACTAATTTTGTGTTTTCATAAATATTTTATAATTATTATATAATTTTTTATAATATTTAAATAATTCTTAAAATTTTTAATTTAAACTTTCTTTACGTAGATATAGATAAAAAGTGGGGGAAAGGATAAATAGGAATTAAAGATAATTTTGGAGAGAAATTCTTTACTAAATTAGAGACAATTTAAAAGATAAATAGGAATTAGAGATAACTTAGAAAAAAAGTGGGGGACAGTGGTACCACTTGGCTAAACATTAGAAAAGCACATCCTTCTTTCTTTATCTATTGGTTCATTGGTTGTTAGAGAGGAAATTATTTAGGTAGGGGAGGCTGTTTAGGAGAAATTTTAAGAGAGGAGATTATTTAAGTTGGTGGGAACGCGGGGGGGAGGAGAATGTGGGAAAAGACAGTTAAGAGCAATAATCTATAAATCATTAGAGATTTTAGGAGTAAGAGGAGACATTTTAGAAATGTGATTGATTATAAACCTAGCTCTCTCTATATAAATTATGCATGATTCTCTCAATGGGAACAAAAAATCACTCGATTAATAGGTCACTTTAGTTGGCAAAGAGACTCTCTATTGAGAGGGAAGGGGAGGAAAGAAAGAGAGTAAATGAGAGAACTGGAAAGGGGTAAGGAAGAATGGAGAGATGAGAGAAGGGGTAATGGAAGAAGGAGAGGACTGCTGACATGGGAGTTAATACCCCACAATATAGTAGTTCAAAATTCAAATTACATTTTGTGCCCTCACAATTAGAGAGGAACCATATTCAAAAATAGGGAGTGTTCTAATCAAGAAAACAAATCAATAAATGTTAATGGAGTTAATACTTTAAATATGAGACTTAATGAGAATTTGAATGAGGAGAATTAGTTTTCAAATTACATTTCCGTCCTTAAAATTAGATAAGAACCAAATTCAAAAATTCACACCATTATTCACACTTTTAATAATAGTATAAATAAGCATTAAATGAAAATTATAAAATAACAGTTTTGTCTTTGCTTATTTTCCAATTCTAACTTTAGCTAGGGGGCATTTGTTGCAACGAAATTCAAGAAGTCAAAGATACCTATTTGCACTTTTATAGATAGATAGATAGACAGATGGATGCTGAAATTGTCTTAAATCTTGCATATTCAGCAAGCTAAAGCATCCCAAAGTTCAGTGATCCTCCTGGTTTGATATTGGTGGATGTTTCTGCAATTATATGGCCACTTTAATTCAGCGAGCTAAAGCATCCCACCCTGTACTTTTTTCAACAATTTGTTCCCTCTGTTAACATACTGTCACTCAACTTTAAAAACGATTCTATGTGTCTCACAGTATCATGTGCTTGTCAAACATTTTTAAACCCCCAAACCACCATTTCTTTAATTTGTGGAACCACTATGCCCTTTCTTTACATATTTGCATAAACCCGTATGTTTCCATCAATCAAGAGAAAGCATTGGAATATGGAAGTTCAGGAAGGGCCTTTGTCACAGATAAAAGTTATGGCGACTAAATATCAGTACCCCAAAGCACAGGTGGTAATCTGCGACTTATCCTAAAAAATGTCTAATAATAACATATTTTCTACTTTATCCTAAAAATGAATCTAATAACAAGTACTCGAGGTATTATTTCAATGCCTGACTGCAAAAAATAAGTTCGTTCTTGGTTTTACGTGCAGACTTGCAGTGGAGATAAAAGGGGCTGTAAAATAAACCTCACAATTTTGAAACTCGATCATTTATTTCATACAAAGACGTGTTCCCAAGAAACCTGTATTTCCAGTGGCCATTAACCACGGCTTCAGCACCAAACTCCCGGAAAGAAGCCCTACCACAACCATAGCATTCCTTTTTTTGCTTATTGAACATTACAGTCAATACTTTAAAATTTTAATTTTTTAACATCAAGGATTCGTTTACGAAACAGAAGAAAAGGGAGAAGAAACTTTGCTACGCCACCGATGGAATTTGATGTTTGCTATAAAGGTTGAAATATACATCTATGTACACAAAAGGGCACTTCGTATAGGTCAAATGGGCCTAAGAGATACATGGTACAAAGAATGCACTCAACAAAGCTACAAATTGCCCCGGTTTCTGCCAAAAAATAAGAACAAAACCAGCATGAAATTGATGACTTGGACTGTACAACCTACACTGCAAAACATTTCCATACATCCCATTGCTTGTTTCAACTTTGTAGGGAGCTGGAAAATCCGTAACCTAATTTACACCCATCTCAAGCCTATTACACGATGTGCTAATCCCAACTGTGCTCTCCTGCACCCAAAGCTTAAATGGCATCAAGTTTAAAATGTGTTTCAGGTGAGAGTGTTTACCTTCATTGTCATCATCAATACCACCACTATCATCATTACTATCTCATTAGCACACTGAATCATTTTATCTCCCATCATCATTGTTGCCACCAAACTTTCTTCACATTAGCGGGAGGTAGGCTCCACCATGTCCCTTCCTCAATACAAGTGGCCCGGAGGTCTCTGGCACCTTATCCAATGCTTTCATGCATGAATCAACTACATCAGCAAATCCAGTTGCCACGGTAGCAAGCTGTAACCGCAATCTTAGATCCCTTGTTCTCTTCAAAAGGCTCCTAAATGACCTACCAAGATGCTTTGCCCACTCTGCGGGTAAACCTCCCGGTGACAGCCACACAGAAAAGTGGGACTGATCCCCTCTTGCTGCCACCTCAGCCCTATAAAATCTTGCAAGCTCAATGAGCATTGATGGCTGGAGAGGAAGCACAGCCACAAACTCGGCCACAAATCGTTCAGTGAGTTCTGGCTTCAGCATCTGGTTCCATAACACAAGAGCCCACTCACTTGGCTGGTTGAGACAGTATGCCTCGGCCACAATGAGAGCCTCTTGAAAGCGGGATTGTTCAACCAGCGCACGCCTTGCATTGGTTTCAGATAGGTTGAGCCAATCGAAGTCGGGCATGCGGATCTGGAGTGAGATGAGAGATGCCTGTGCACATGACCGGCATGTCTTATTGCCAGCATCAATGGTGGAGTGTACTTCTGCAGCTTCAATAAAGTAGCGCATGGAATCCAGGAGGTCCTCATTCTGCTCCTTGTCATAGCGATGAAACCACTGCTGGATGGACTGCATAGCTCGTGACTCTAGCAGTGAAGCTGTCTCATGTTTCATGTCAAAATGATTATAAACCTGCACAGAGAAATTCCCAAACATGAAGACAAATGTGAGGCTATCGGCCCTTAACATTATAATTACTATATGACTAGTGTACATCCCCATTCCACATCATCCACACTGCAGCATTTTATATATGTTTCTAGTGTACACGTCTGTGTAAAATATGGTAAAGAATTGGAGTATATCCATACCATAGCAAATGCATCAAGATCAGAAGGGTTAAAATGTTTCAATGATGTGAGGACAGCCATCCGAAATCCTCTGACAGTCTCCGCTGTGCCAGTGGTAGTGTCTGTAGCTGAATACTTCTGAAGAAGAAGCTCTAGCTGACCATTTTCTATAAGAATGCCAAGAATGAAATTCAAGGCATGGAAATTTCCTACTCCAGTTATCAAGCGAGCCAGACAAGAAAAGTCTCCCTCAGACACATAAGCTTCAACCCTTGTTGCTGCAAGGGCTACAAGAACATCTACTCCATCCAGACAAGCAGAAGATTTGTAGAAGTGATGTGACAGAATGAGAAGTTCAACCTGAAACATAGTTTTCTAATTATGGTAAGACGTGGGAATATATCATATTGAACCAAAGAAAATAGAAACATGTACACACACACACAAACGGGTATTTATGGTAGGGTCTTTCAAACTGTTGATACAAGAAAAAATCAGCTTTTTTCTGTGAATAAAATGGAATAAAACCCATGCTGGAGATTTTGTTATGTTTGCATTTACCATAAGTTGCACCACAATAAATATTTTGTGAGACACAGATAGATCATCTGTGTTTTGAATCAGAGGAAAACTATTGTCAAGTGTCTTCTCAATCCTTCAAACTATTGCCTTTACTCTTACATATAACATATGGATTAAAAGATGGTGCTGGAATATCATGATCTGTTTTTTTTTTTTTTATGATAAATAATGCTGGAATATCATGATCTTTAACTGGATTATTTCTGTTCTTGCTTCCTGTAAATAATAGCTCAATTGTTTTTTGTAGTTTCAAAAGTAACAAAATTTGATGTTTGTTCTTTTAACAAAGGTAAAAAACAAATACTATAATCATGAGGATAAATACAAATTTGGAGTATACAGTAAGGTTGATAATTTCTGCCTGGGCCTGCATTACCCACCCTGCCCTGGAAGTTAAGTAAAAAATTACCCACCCTGTCTGGGCCTGCATGTATATTAATAAATTAATATGCATAATAAAATTTTTATATATTTTCCGTAATTTTAAATATAAACTCAGATTTAAATTTTATTTATTTTTTTAATTTTATAGTTTTAAAGCCTGGACTCCTGGCCAGGCCTGTACCCAGACATGTTTTCAGGCCGTAGGCCTGCCACACCCCGACAGCTCAAAATACTATTCCTACCTTGCAAAAACCTGGTCCAGCCCATGATCATCCCCAATATACAGAGTTATAATATAGCCCATAGTTGTCAAGGTGACGCCTAGGCGACAAGGCGACCTTTGAGGTTCGCCTCGCCTAATTGCCAAACAGTTTTGTACTATGTATTACAAATATGGTTATGGTACCTAGGGAACTACCCTAGGATCTATGTTTTCTACATAAGAAAATCCATCGCCCAGGTGACATCTAGGCGCCCGCCTAGGTGACTAGGCGACAAGGCGCCCCCCTGTCGCCTAGCCTCACCTTGGCGCCTTGAAAACTATGATATAGCCTCAGGTGCAAAAAATCCCAAGAATACATCAATATGGTTAACTGAGAAATGAGTTCCAAAGAAAATTATGAGATACCATCTATGGTACAGTTGGTACATATTGCTAGTTGAAATTTTTAACACTTAATAGTAATAGCAGTACTAATATCTTGATCGAAAACAACAATATTCTGCTATTAGAGAGATCTAAATTCTAAATGCGAGATGATAATATTTTTTTATCAATATGAGAGATGATAATATTGAGCAAAACGTTGGGCAGTCTATTAATCTATGACATTACTATGTTATTAATCCCAACTATAGATACCTACCTCACAAGCATGTGGTATTTCTTGTCCAGTAATCACCAAACGCATCAATGCATGCCCAATTTCTGGCTCTGATGGACAAAGTTCTGCCCACTTTAAGAAGTCTGATAGTCTCCACAAAAGAGGTGCAGGTCCTTCCTCCTTTTGAGAATCCATATATCCTCCACGATGTGCGGCCAATAGACCCTGGAAAAATACAGTAAAGTGTCAGAACATAATCTCATGCAGCAATAACTCAAAATGCTTAAGCAGATATGGAAGAAATCACCTTCAGAAAAGATTCAGCAAGAATTCGAGCAATACTGGCTGGTGCCATGGAATGTGTCTGCACTAGAAGCTTTGCCTCCTCAAGCGAATCTTGTGCTTTAAGAGAAAGCAATTGTAGAAGCTCAATTGGCTGTTTTCCAAATGCCTCATAAAAAGAAAGGCCCAAGACATTGGCAGCTTTTACAACAGCTATTATTCTCTTACACAAACCACGACCGCCACCTTCATTGCACTTGCTTGTTAAGTTCTCCAAGACCTGCAATAAAATGATAAATAACAAATATGAGAACTGTAATCAACTATGAAGGTTCAAAGTATAAAATATGATGTGCCTGTACCAGGCGTATCGTAATCTATCTTTGGGTCCCCAATATGCCATTTAAGGGGAGTTAGCAGGTTTTAAGAATTTCACAAGAGACAACGTTGGCATACCCCTGTCAAAATCTGACACCTAATAGATACAAAAATAGTTCTGACAAAGACAGAAGTCTTGATATGCAAATTTTGTGTATTGAGATTATCAAAACTTTGAACCATGACTGCTATAACTCAATCACTTGGGAGATACTCAGGCCCTGTCACATCTTGAATATTCAAGAAGGAAGAATGGAAAACTGGAAAAAAGGCCAATAATGTAAAGATGGAGATTAAGGAACAGAAGAAGCATAGAGAACCATATGAAAGAGATTGGGCAGGAACCTGCAATGGTTCAATTTGATGGCAGTCAGTCATTATATTGTATGACTGGATAACTGAAAGCACTTCTGCATCCGACATTGGAGTAGATGGTTCACAACTACTAGGAGTTGAAGTAGCTGCAAGCTTTAAAGCGCTGTCCACTAGTGCAAATTCAGAAGGAACATGTGCTGGAGAGAGCTTATGTTGAAGCTGTTTGGCAGCTGTTATTTGTCCAAACTCTAACAAGGAAAGAACAGCCCTTTCCAGTTCAGCAGGTCCAACTCTTTCTTCCCACCTCGAAACAGAGCCCTCTACTCCAAAATTTTCATCTTGCAACTGAAAGCTTTTAACAAATTCAATGTTGTTCCTCACACTGACAGGAGGATAGGAATTATCATCAGGATCACTATTTTTATCTGCATTGTCCACCAAAGACCGTCTTGGTGGAAGAGAACTTTTGGCCCTCCGCTTTGTCTTTGTACTTCCTCCTGTCATCATGGAAGAGCTAGCATCCATGGCTTGCAGGTTACGAAGATGCATGTGGTTATTTTCTCTTGTATCACTTTTCTCTCCAGCTCTTGCTCTCATTGCATTTATATGATTGTCCATTTTTGTGATAATACTTGCAGTACGTTCTATGATATTGGAGCTGTTTCCACTCACTTTGTTCCAGCCAGAATTGAGTAACATGACATCTCCGTCACTCTTAACCTGAGCCTCAGATTCAACTGCCAAGAGCCATACTCTGGTCTCAATTTCACGCAGAAGATGCAAAGGGTAGACTCTGGAAACAACAAGCATATAAGTTAGAAAAGTAACTAGAAGTAAGAGATAGGGGTGCAAGTTAGGTACCCAATTTAAAGAATTTACATTGCACTCGAGCTGGACCTATTGAAATTTTAACAATTTCCCAACCCAAGAATGCCCAAGTTGCACCCCTAGTCAGAGACAAAGTAGCAAAGGAAAGTTACGTACGGGTTGGATTGGGTTATGGTTCCACTTAACCATTGTAGGGAAAGAAGTAGTAGTTCATGCAGTTCCTTTGCTGGAATGTCTTTGTCCACAGCTTCTGCATGCTTGAGAAAAAATAATCCTGCCTGAAGACACATCAAGAGAAAAGAACATCAGTAGGGAGTGTAGAAAAAAATTTACACAACTGACCAGCAAGAAATCAGACAGAAAAACATATTAAACAGAATATGAGTAAAATGAGTATATGGATGATCTGCAATTAATTGTACTTCCATATGGTTGGTGACATATTATTGGCATGACCTGTAAGGGAGGGTAGGAATATCTAAGGAACAGTGTCTGACAGTGGCCCCATAAAGCAGCTCTCTCTTCAGGGACATCCCAAAGGTACTCTTTCCATTCTGCTACCATGGCTTCAGCCTGAAACAAATACAATGTCAAAGTTGACAATGAAACATAGAAGAAGCACAATGAATTATGAAGTAACCCATATTAAAATTGCTTATGATAAAATTATATGAAGTAACCCATTTATAAGAGTAGAAAAGTTTTGATAACCTGCTTTGATATAAAATCTGTAAAAGATAGAAGAGAGGAAAAAGTTTCTGCTAGAAAGAAAGAGAAGAGAGATAGAAGAGAATGGGGAAGAAAGTCAGATACTTGTAAGAAGCTGAAAAGTCACACTTAACTTAAACATAAACTAATGGGCCTAAGGCCCAACAACTACCTACTAAGTTATGTAAATAAAAAACAAATAAAATCGGCCCACAACTCAACACTCCCCCTCAAGTTGGGAATAGATGTCACACATTCCCAACTTGCGTAGATCATGCTCCAGCTTGTTTCTTGCAACACCTTTTGTAAGAACATTAGCAAGCTGCAAGTCAGATGCAATATATGGCAAGCAAACTTCTCCGGAGGTCACCCTTTCCCTTATAAAATGTCTGTCCACTTCGATGTGCTTGTCCTATCATGCTGAACTGGGTTGTGGGCAATGTTAATTGCTGCTTGATTGTCACAGTATAGCATCATAGATTCTTCTGCCTTAATCCCAATCTCCCCTAACAAGGAATGGATCCAGAGGAGCTCTGAAACACCATGTGCCATGGCTCTATATTCAGCTTCTGCACTTGACCTTGCCACAACTGTCTATTTCTTACTCTTCCATAAAACTAGATTGCCTCCAACAAGAATGCAAACTCATGATGTAGATCTCCTATCATCTAGACACCCTGCTCAATCAACATCTGTGTAAGCCTTTAACTTCAACTGTCCATGGTCAGCAAACAATATGCCTCTACTTGGGTGTCCCTTCAAATAGGAAAGTATCCTGTCAATAGCCTTCCAATGCTGAACTCGTGGGGCATGCATGTATTGACTCAGCACACTCACTACATAAGAGATGTTTGGTCGTGTCATGCATAAGTATAGCAACCGCCCCACTAATCTCTAATACCTCCCAACATCCTTTACTAGTTCACCTTTTGAAACATTTATCCTGTGGCTCTGATCATAGGTGTAGAAGCTGCCTTTGCCCCAAGTTTCCCTGTCTCTTGTAGTAGATTCAGAACATACTTTCTCTATGAAATGAAGATCCCATGCTTGGACCTTGCCACCTCAATGCCTAGAAAGTACTTCAACTCCCCAAGATCCTTAATTTCAAACTCTTTGTGCAGGTTCTTCTTCAAGGTATCAATCTCACTCAGATCATTTCCTATAATTACAATGTCATCCACATACACTATCAAAACTGACACCAGCGACCCCCTTCCTCTTCACAAATAGAGTGTGATCAGATTGAGTTTGAGTATAGCCAAATACAATCATTGCACTTCTAAACCTGTTAAACCAAGCTCTAGGTGATTGCTTCAAACCATATAGAGACTTCTTCAACTTACATACCTTTCCCTTTTCTACATCATTGTAGAAACCAACTGGAAAATCCATATACACCTCCTCTTGCAAATACCCATTGAGAAAAGCATTATTCACATCAAGTTGGAAGAGTGACCAAGAGTATGTAGCTACTAGTGATAGAAGAATCCAGACTGAGCTCATCTTTGCCACTAGTGCAAAAGTTTCCAAGTAATCTTGCCTTAAGTCTGAGTGTATCCTTTTGCAACCAGCCTCACCTTATACCTTTCTATACTCCCATCAGCCTTGTACTTCACTGTATAAACCCATCTGCATCCAATTGTCTCCTTGCCCTCTGGTAGATCCACAATCTCCCTCGTCTGATTCTTAATCAAAGCTTTCATTTCCTCCTGCATAGCTGCCTTCCACTTAGGTTTGGAGAGAGCCTCACTAACACCCTTGGGTATAGACACGGAGTCGATGGTGGAAAGGAAGGCTTAGTAGGAAGGAGATAATCTACTATAGGAAAGATGGTGTGAGATGCAATGAGTAGTACATTTTCTCTTCCCTTTTCTAAGTGCAATAAGAAGATCAAGGTTATCTACAATTGGGTTAGGAGCAAGGGTAGTAGTATCAATAGGAACTAAACCATCAGAGGAAGCAAAAGGCATACCTGGGTCAGTGTCAATTGAACCTGGAATCTCCAAAGAGCCGATAAGGAGTGATGAGGGCTCCTCTGTTGTGGAATCAACCTCCCTGTGCAGTCGTAGGCGCTGTCTGAGAAATAGGATGCAAGGGAGGTGGTAAAGTGGGTGGGTTGGGTCAAACACTGGAGTGGACAAAGGGGCTGGAACCTGAAGTGGTATAGATTGCTCACTTCCTTCCCCAAAACATTCCCTCTAAAAAGAACCCTCTGCGAAAATAGATGTGTATTCAAAAAAGGTGACATCCATAGTAACATATCGACCCCGGAGACTAGGTCATAGCAACAATACCCCTTCTAGTTTCTTGCATACCCAAGGAAGACACACTTCTTCACCTTAGGGTCCAACTTTGAGTGGTGAGGATCAAGAACATGGACAAAGCATACACATCCAAACACCCTTCGAGGAATATGGAACATCTCCCCCTCAGGAAAAAGAATGTTGAACAGAGCACTATATCCCAAAACATGAGTAGGCACCCGATTAATCAAGAAAACTACTATAAGAACTGCATCACCCCAAAAACGAACTAGAACAGTAGAACTCAACATCATGCTTCTTGCAACTTCTACAATATGTCTATTCTTCCTTTCTGCTACACCATTCTATTGTGGAGTGTATGAACAACTACTTTGATGGATTACTCCATGCTCCAATAGGTATGATGCCAGTTTTTTTTTTTCAAAATATTCACTGGCATTGTTTGATCTAAACACTTACACTCGTACCCCAAACTGCGTCAGCACCACCTGATGAAACTGTCGAACCAAAGATGGTACCTCATCATGGGATCCCATCAAATATAACCAAGAATATTGGGAATAATCATCCACAAACAGAAGAAAATACCAATAGCCAATATGATATGACCCCCACACATCAGTATGAACAATATCAAAAGCAGAAGAATATCTTTTATTACTTACTTTAAAGGAATGTCTACAATGCTTTCCAAGTTGATAACCTTCACACTCCAAACTAGACAAACTGATAGACTCAAACAACGAAACAAGAAATGCAAAGAAGTAAAAGACAAATGCCCTAACCGATTATTCCAAAGCATAATCTAACCCACCGACTTTGACTCAATACCCTTGCTGACATGATGACTCTGATGACTAGGAAGCGCATTAAGAATATAGATTCCATTCACCTCATGACCACTCCCAATCGTCCTCTTTGATTCCAAATCATGCAAAACGCAATGACCAGGAGAAAAAATCACTGAACAATTCAAATTCTTTGTCAAGCTACTAACAGATAAAAGGTTAGTACTCAGTCTAGGGACATAAAGGACAGAGGGTAGGGTAATGGTATCAGTTATCTTGATAGACCCTTTCCCAGCAATGGGAACATGTGATCCATCACTTGTTGAGACTCTATCTCTGCCAGAGTAGAGGTGGTATGAGGAGAAAATGGTGAAAATGTTGGTCATATGTTTTGAGGCTCCTGAGTCTATAATCCAAGGAGGTCCCTCCTTACCTGTAGTGGAAACATAGTTTGTAGTGGCATGTGAACTACCTGTATGTGTAAACGAAGTAGAATGGCTACCTCCTGATCCACCTATACCTTGTTGTCCGCCTGATAATGGGTTGGAACTGATTGTGTCCCTTTAATTTAGAAACTGTCCATATCTCTCCAATTCGGCCCTCATTGCAACTGCTGCAATAGACTCTAGGGAAGTTGTAGTAGGTGGTCCTGATAAGTCACCAGCCACTGCCATATTCACATTTCCCTTCTAGTTTCTGAGTCAACTCGGCACAAGGTGTGGGCAAAGATTCCAGCAGGTATCTCTGGTATATTTAGACTTCTTATAGTAGTCACAGATCAGATCCTTCTTGTGCTCCATCCTAGGTTCATTTCCACCATTGTCTCCACTTAGCTTAGGCTTCACTATGCTAACCATAGCTAACTGCTCAAGATCAGGGTTCCTCATCATCACATTCCTCATACTCTCCTCTCCAGACACAAAGGCATATGCCTGAGATAAAGTTGCACCGTCTCTGGAAAGAATATGCTACCATACAATGTCATACTCAGGGTTAAGTTCGACTAGAAACTCAAAAGCCCAATTCTTCTCTACCAGCTTCTGATAAATTGCTGCAACCTTACTACTTTCCCAAATCACAGTCCCCAAATGATCTATCTCCTGCCATATGGTTTTGAAGGCAGAAAAATAAATAACAACAGATTTATCTCCCTGCCTGGTAGCAATCACCTGGTTTCTCAACTGGTAAGCTCTAGCAACATTCTATAGTTGTAAATAGGTTTCTACAACTCCATCCCAAATCTCCTTAGCTATGCTAGCCCATAAAAAGTTTTTACTTGTATGGGGTAGCATGGAATTGCACAACCAAGTCATCACATGTAGTTCTCTTGTACCCACCGGGAGTAGTTAGTTTTAGGTTTCTTTTCCTCACCGGTGATATACCCCAATTTCCCACGAGAACCAATGGCCATCTTTGTAGATTGTGACCACTCTAAGTAGTTTGTACCATATGGCTTGACTGTAGTGGTGGTCCCAGCCCCGAAGAGGTCTCCACCTCCTCCCTCTTGTCTCATTTCACTTCCAAGTTTGTTTTCAACTCCACAACCCTCCATAACTCCCAAAAAGGATTTGGAAATCAATTTGAGATGAAAAGAGAGGTATTTATCTCCTTTAGAAACTCAAACACCTTTCTGGTACCCTATAAGCCCCTCAATCCAAAGATTCCTTTTTCCGTGGGAGCGAGAGAAGAGAGAGAGAAGGTTGCCACTCCCTCCAAAGGCCTCCAAAAAAGCTGGGACTTGAACCGCCCCCTTTAGAAAAACTCAAGGAACCCTAGAAAACAAGGGCGCTACTTCCTAGGTCAAAACTGAAGAGTCCTACTAAATCAAGACTCTCCCCCTTTCACCAATTCTTCCCGATTTTGGTGTTAAACCCTAGACTAGCTACAAGGGATTGCAAATCCACCTAAAAATCCAAGAACTGGGCTTAGCTAAAGTCTTTGATCAGCCCTTTACCTCATCATGCAGTCGGCTGATCTAGGGCTGCATGATGGAGCAGCTCAAGAAATCTTTAAACTTGCTCTGATACCAAGTAGAAAAGTTTTGATAATCTGATTTGATATAAAATCTGTAAAAGATAGAAGAGAAAGAAGAGAGGAAAAAGTTTCTGCTAGAAAGAAAGAGAAGAGAGAGAGAATAGAATGGGAAAGAAGCCAAAAATAGATCTGGCCGCCCCCTTCATTAGATTATATAGTCATAAATAAAGAGTGTACAAGTACAAGTATACTCTTAGTAAGCTGGCTACTTGTAAGAAGCTGAAAAGTCACACTTAACTTAAACATAAACTAATAGGCCTAAAGCCCAACAACAACCTAACTAAGTTATGTAAATAAAAAACAAATAAAATCGGCCCACAACTCAACAATAAGGATTTAATAATTGTATTTTTTGCAGACAAGACTCCGGGTATCAAAAATTTCCTCAAAAGACCAATACTGCACATAATAGACAAATTATCTAAAGGTAATAATAATACCTGTGCTTCAGTAACATGGTGAACAACAGATTTCCAAGGTGCACCACTAGCCTCCAACTGCCTGGCCCAGTTGCGTGCTTGTTCCCAATTTCCACTCTTTTCTAATGCTGTCAAAAGTGAAGCATCATCTAGAGTTTCATTCCCTAGGTATAAATCATCATCTTTCCGCAATGAAGGCTCAGCCAAATTAATTTTCCAATACAGTCTACGGAAACACGTTGCAGCAGATCCTCCATCTCCAAAATCAGTTGCAGCCAGAAGTTGTAGTAAGCACCTTTTTTCATACGCTGATGGAGATGTTGAAAGCATTGCCTCAGCAGCCTTCACAGCAGTTGAACTTATCCATGATGTTCCAATTAATTTTTCTCTTCCTATGCTTGTTTGCACATGAGGAGCTTCTTCCTTGATTCTGGCAGAAAAGGATGCTAAATGTGCCGAAGCTTCTGTTAGTCGCATTTGTGAAAATGCCTAAAATAAACAGCGAAGAATAATCAAAACCTAAAATTGCATAGTGAAAAAGAGTCAAAACCTAAAATTACTCTCTCTTGGTCTTGCTTGCTAGCTCGCTGTTTTTCTCCTTTCTTTTTGAAGAATCATTCAGATAGGAATCAAATCTCAGCTTGGAAGTCGACCAAAGTGAGTTATTATGAAACTCTCTACTCAGAATTTAAAAACAACACATAACAATATCTACATGGAAGGCATGGTTCCGTTTACACATTATTGGATGATTCATCATTATACTCAGCTTGCAATTTCTTGAAACATAATGAAATTTCTATTTCTCCAAAAGGAGGAAGGAAACCACCTAGAATTAAAAGGCTTCAAAATTCTCTTCATATTTTCCCACTATTTCTAAACTATTTTGATATATAAGCAAAATAAAGTACATGTAATGTGCAAATATTCCAAATTTCAGCGATGCCACCGAATCTATTGGAATAATCATGAGGCATGAAAGTCACCCTTAACTACATTTTGCAAAAATAAAAAATAAAATAAAATATAAACTCAGTTTGTTGATCCTAACCATTGAACCAACAGATCTAATTGGACTTTTCAGAAAACCTATTGTTAAAATATTTAGTTAAATAATTAAATACTCTTTTCAATAGTCATAAAATTACAAAAGGTATTAATTTGATGGTATTTGTTATTTGGTTTCAATATTATGTTGTTGAAATAAAATCAGCCTAGTTTATATTGCAAAAAAACATAACACTTTTAATTAAAATTAACTAACTAAAATTTTAAAATGCAATAAACAATACTAAACTAGGATTAATTGTAAAGAAAGTAGTATAATTTGAGGAGGTTTGAGATTTATTAAGTGGAAATGATATAACATTATGACAACTTAACCTAGTCAATTTTTAAAGGTTATAGGAAAGGGAAAATTAGAAAAATAAAATAATCTCTGATAAAGTAATAGCATTGCTATTTTATCAACTACAACAGTACAACTATATGCATTCAATGTATCAAATTAGGCTGGTGTAAAGTATAAAATAACAAAAATATCATAACTAAAGTTCTAGTTGGAGTTTGATAAATTAGCATTTCCCATATAAAGGAATTTTTTTTTTCATTGGTACATACAATTATATTATCATGATGAATTGCCTATGTAATTAGACTCAGAAAGTTGGAATATAATACAATAGCTGGGCTGCTAAAGATAGGAATGATTTCAAAGCACTTCAAGTAGAAAGGAGCATAATATAAGAGTTTATTTGTAAGGATATTGACTTCGACGATAATAAGATCTTCCAGTAAATGCCTATTTAAGTTATCCAATTTCTCTTATTTGCACTACATAGTTCCTTACCTAATTTTCTTTTTGTTGGGGGGAGAGGGATGAATTCAATAAAGTAGATTCACACACGTTCTGTTGTTAGGATTTTTTTAATATACCTGCAGGGCACGGATGAAAGGTAAAAGAGAACAAGATGGGAGGAACATTTCAAATGCCCTTAGCAAAGGAAGAAACAGATGCTGTTCACAAAGCACAGCAACCATCTTGGAAAGAGAAACATGCACTTCATCAGAATCACTTAAAATTATGTTTTGCTCATCAGCTTCTTGTCTTTTATCTTCCTCGGCACTGATATCTTGAATGGCAGAATTTCTGATAACATTGATATCAGTAGAAACTTTAGAAGAGGTAGTAGTTGAGGGATCCCCTGATGTCTGCTCCATCAGGCGCCTTCTTTTTGGATTTCTTCGGTTATAACGAAATGTAAGGGCTCTACTACCAACAGGAAGTAGATTGGTCATTTCCACAGCTGCTCCAACATTATTGGCAATCTGGGAAGCTATGTCATCAACTTTGATTGATGATGTCTCCCTGTAAATAAATTTTGGTACTGAGATGCACACAGAATTATACTTAGGAGTTCAATTTTTTTAAAATAAAAGCACCAATTGCAATTAAAACAACAGGAAGAAAATATAAACTTTCACTTTAGCAAACCTTGCTGCTGTTATCTCTAGCCAAACTGTCAAGCAGGACAGAGGAGACACATCTGCAAAGCATGATGCAATCATTGCCAAAAGAGACCAGCGCAAATCTTTTGCTTTTATCAGTAGTGCCTTTCCAGGATTTTTCTCTTTCTCACACTCAGCAAGAAGCCTAAAAAGCTCCAAGGGGATCAGGAGGTTGGTATCAGTTGAAAAAGGCATTTCATTGTTTTTTTCCATGGGAGCTGAATTTGAATAAGAGCTAGACTTTTTTCTTGTTGACTGTATGCTCTTTAGAACAGTTAAAATGTGGATCCTCAGTCGTGGGTCACTGAACTCCTTAGAAGCCTGAAACATGAAATAATATCAGAATGGAATGGTAATGCACTCAAAGAAGCTAAGAGAAGTAATATTGATTTTTTTGATAGGAAATGGTGTAATAGTGAATTGTTTCATAAATAAGATATAAAGTTAAGAAAGATCAATGTCTTCAGAGGGCGATAAGGAGGCTGGCAAGGGAGATGAATGCAGAATTTACTTGGACACAGAGATCAGAAAATGGCATTAGCAATTATTTAGCAAGACAAGGGATAAATTAGCGATCAAATGTATTAGGGAACAACATAAAGGGGTGAAATTAAAAAGGGGTTGCTACTCCATAGATTTGAGGAAATCACTCATCATTTTGTACCAAGTTTCTGAATTAAATTTAATGAAATTCTTTTGCTGATAAAAAAAAACATTCATCATTTTGTATATAGTTTCTTTTTTCAACAAAGTAATAAAAGTTTCTTAGTTATCCATCAAAAAAGTCCATGTCATCCAATTAACAAGGAAATAAAAACTTACAACTTGGATGATGGCATCAAATGGGTATCCTCCAACCTGGGCTTCTGCAAGAAAACCAACCTAACAAAAGGGAAAAAACAATGATCATTTGGTCCTAGATAATAGTAAAACTACATTACAGAACAGAGGTAGAAGAATAATAGTACCCAATCATTGTCTTTTGCTAGTACAGCAAGGTATTTTGTGCTCAGGGGGATCTGATGCATTTTGCAAAAATCTGTAACTAAATTCCAGTGCTGACTTGCAGCCTTTTGTTGTGACCTGAACTCAGCTCCATCACCTGTGCCATTTAGCAACCATGATCCACAGGTCCTCCCCTCAACCATCAAAGGAAGACTTGCCTTTTCCAATTGCAGTAGGACAGCCATGAGAGCTCGTGAAGGTTGTTTACTGCTGGAATCTCTATTAGAAGTTTCTTTTGGCTTAATAACACTATCATTATAATGATGCAAATAATCATCTGCTAGTGCTTGGGCAAGAGAAATTGTAATAGCACCTTCATGGTTTACCGCATGAAATGCAGTACCCTTTGGTGAGAGATGCTTAGAATGTTCATTATACTCACTGGACATGTAAAAAGAAGAAATACGTCTCAAGGCAGCAACATCAACACGAAGCATGCTGGCAGATAAGCCACAAAGCTCCAGGAGGAAAGCACATGAAGCAACCAACATGGAGTCCTCAAAGTGCACAATAGCAAGTGGAACAACCTGAAAATGAATGCACACCACATGTTACAAGACAGTGCTAACTGAAATATTTAGATAATATTCTGTAAGAAATATTCAGATAATATTGGCATTAAACAAATGATATTAGCTAATATATGTAATTATATACCAACAACAGAATTATTATAATACTAAGGTCTACTTGGTAATTAGCTGGATAAAATGTGATGGAAAGAGACCACAGCATTCTCGCATGTGTCAAGTAAGCATGATCTTTAGCTTCCTCAAGGAATATATCCTTTCAACAGATACAGAGATCTACCGATTATTAGTTGACTCATAAGCTATGGGAAGCATTTGGAGGGAGGAGATGTGTTGGGACTTGGACCTTCCTTTGTAGATTGGGTATATTTGTGGGGCTCCATGGTCACCCTAGATAGTTGGCTTGTTCCATGCTTTGATTTCTTTCTTTTTCTGATTGTCACCATATCATATTATCATAACTTTTTCTTCTCTTACTAGTAATTCTTTGATCTTGTCATTGGTTGAGAAAATTAAAAAAAATCATAAATACTTAAAATATGTCCAAATTAATGTAACACTTCAACAATGTAATGTACATACTTATGAAAAAATGAGTTGTTGCAATAATTGAAAATACAAAAAATGTTCATCAATCTTTTGCAAAACACCATTAGTTTAAAGTTCATTAGAAATAGTAAAAAATGTAGCTAAGACTCCATTTGTTTGCACTGTGAATTTCATTTGCATTAGCATAAAGCATAAATGCATGATAGTGCAAATGGTCTGTTTAAATTCTTCTTTACTTTTGCTTCAGATTTGACCCTATCTTGAATGTTTGTGAGAAAAAAAAGGAAATCAAATGATGTGGTCCATACTTGTATGAGAGAGAGAATGGAGGCAGCAGGAAGATTATCTGTTTAGGAGGATTAAGATAAGCAAAAGGATGTAGTCCCCACTTTATATGAGAAAGAATTAAGATAGGAGGAAGGTGCAAATTTTGCATTGGGTTGGAGTGCAAATCATCTTCACAAACAAAAAAGATGCAGAACTGAACCGGGTGCAAAATTTGCATTCAGTTCAGATTTGCACTGCAAACAATCAGAACCTAAACAACATATTTCTTTACATTGTTCTGCAAGCCAGTGTTCAGATCCGTTGATCCCTATGAGATCTTTTCATTATGGCTTTTGCTTGCTGGAAACAAGAAAGCGAGGTTGGTTCTCAATACCATTACCATCTGCTGTTTGTGGGGGCATCTAGAAGGAAAGGAATAGAAGGATTTTTGACAAGGAAAAAACAACAACAGAGAATTTTATATTGATATCAATTCTCAAATCCTTTATTTTTGATGGTTCATGTAGAATTCAAAGACATTGGAATTTGGAAGACACTTTCACATTGGAGATTTTTAATACCCTTGATATTGTAATGGATGAATAACTTATGAATGTCTTCCTTTTATTCTGTTTCTGGTTGTATTGTTTGTTGTGTGGAACCTCAATACACCTTCATTTTATTTTTTGCTCCCCTAATAAGATTTTCTTTTTATTCTATTACTAAAAATGCCTTAGAAACAAGAGACTTTAAAATAAGTAGGACAAAAACGGAGTATATGACATAAATTTAGTAATAATAGGAGTGTAAATCAAGATAGACTTAGGATTGGAGACCAAGAGATAACTCAACGTGACCATTTCCAGTACCTTGGTTCAATAATTCATAACAAGGGAGAGATTGAGGAAGATGTCACCGAAAGAATTAGAGCAGGATGGGCAAAATGGAGGGGTGCATCTGGACTTTTATGTGATAGACAAGTACCACTTAGATTAAAAGGAAAATTCTATAAAACAATTGTCAGGCCAGATATGTTGTATGGAACAAAGTATTGGGCAACCAAGGAACATGTCCAAAAAATGAATGTGGCAGAAATGCGAATGCTAAGATGGATGAGTGGAAAAACTAGAAAGGATAGGATTATGAATGAAGTTATCCATAGGAACCTAGGAGTAGCTCCAATAGGTGATAAAACGAGAGACAGTAGATTAAGATGGTTTGGGCATGTGCATAGAAGACCGCCAACTGTACCAATTAGAAGAAGTGATTTGTTACACATTGAAGGTGCTAAAAGAGCTTGGAGTGGACCAAAAAGAACATGAGTAGAAGTAGTAAGAAATGATTTAAGCACTAATAATTTAACAATGGATATGACTTTAAATAGAATGCATTGGCAAAACAGGATTTGTGTAGCCAATCCCATATAGTTGGAATAAGGCATCAATGATGATTTTATTATTAAAAATTTTTAAATTTCCAATTTGGTCATACCTACTACAATAATATACATACACAAAAATAAAGTGTCATATTTAAGCTACCTTACATATTTAGTGAATAACACCTTAAACTAAGTCAAACTGTAAGATGAATTGAAAGTTAAACAATTAAATTCTATTCAAGAAATACGCAAAGAAATTATCCGTACAGATGAAAGAAGAGATTCTTCATTATGAGTCAAAGGAGCAAGAAGTATTTGGACATCTGATTGCACATTTGCAGAGGCACCAGATTGTTCCTGCAGGATATTTGTTGATTTCAACTTTTGAACTCGCATGCCAAGAAGATGGTTGAAAGCTGCTAGTGCACGCCCTCGATGCAAGTGGTGTTCAACTCCAAATCCAGTCTCCTGTAAGACACCAAACCCAATGAAATGAGCAAAGCATGTTATCAAGCCAAGATGGATGGTCGGTTAAGTTCATGAACCTTTACTGACTTGAATTTTCAAATGAAGCTAATACATTCCAAACTATAACACATAAATCTATAGCAGAACTGCAGAAGGAATATGCTAAGAACAGTTGAGTACAGGAAAGTTCTTAACTTAAATGCAGATCCTGGTAATTGCTACTTTAACTATGCTGTCAGAAGCCTGGAGGTCAATTCAAGCACTTATTGAAGCCCAGAAAGAGCAAATACAGTTTTAGAGATTGATGCACCAAGCTCCAAGAAATGCAAATAGCCACAATATATGAACCATAAAAGGAAAACTATTATTGTGCTTTCTGGCGGTTGACTGATCATTTATCTGAACTATTACATTCACATAGCATGAAAGTGAATTCAAAAAGAACGGCTGTAGTTAGGTGCTCCTTAATATCTGTGAAATGGAAATTTGAACTCAAAGAAAAAGATTGATAAACATTCAGTAAAGTGATAAGGTTTACATATTTTTGCATTATTCTTTGGACTCATCGGCCATGGTGTTTCAACAAAGACAGAACTGAGAGCAATCCAACAAGGGATAAGATTGGCTAAGCTCCTAAATTATAGAAATTTGATAGTGGATGGGGACTCCCATGTAAGTGGGACGGATCATAAAAGATAGTATGGGCCTCTAGAAATTTTGACATAACCAGGGAGTGGTTGAAGGGTTTCCAAATCTCTTACACCCTATGAAAGCCAAGATCCCAATCCAGATCATGAGCCAAGGGGGTTACAAGTTTAGACACAGGCTCTTTATTATAATATGAGATAGGGCATACAAAGAAGGGAACAAGCCTTTCAAAGGAGAGTTGCCCACCCACATATCCTCCCAAAACAGAATTTTATGACTGGACCACACATTGTACCTGATAAAATTAAAGATAGTAAGACTGCCTTGAATTGCTTTCCAGAGAGAAGCTAAGGTAACTCTTGTCTCTTGCAGCCACACCAGCATCCCAGCCATTTTTTTTATCAATAACAGAAACAATTTATTAAAAATCAAGATAAATGATATGTAGAGAGAGTCTGAGCCGAATGGGCCCTAGTACCTTTATTTTATTGTTTTGTTATGTCTATGTTAATGGGCCTTATCCATATGGGTATGTTATCCTTTTTATTCTTTTCTTATGTTATGTTATGAGCTGGCCACCCCATTAAGGGCATCTTTGTAATTATGATCATTAAGTGAAGATTAACAAAAGTGATTAGGAGAAAGGAGAGAGAACTGATCAAACTCTCTTCTCCTTCTCCCTTCCTCTTCTCTCATCTTCTTCTTCCTCTTCTTTTCTGCTATCTTCTCTCTTTTTTTTTTTCTACTTTCAGATTAAAATATTCCTTTCTCTTTTTGGGTTGATTCACATCTAGATACAATTATAAGATAGCAAGGGGAGAGGTAAGCTCTCTTAACCTTTCCCACATCAAATATACAAGATTACAATAAAGTCCAAAACAATTGAACCCTCCCCACCCTTGTTGGGCAAGTGCATCTGCAAAGAAATTAGCACTTCTTTTCACCCACTGCAGTCTTACTTCCATACCCTCGATCAGCCACTTAGATCTCCTTCTTTCATTAACAAAACCCCAAAGCCCAATTTCCTCCTTTTCTAACCAGCCTATTTACCAGCTTTGAGTCACCTTCAATAATCAATTTTCTAATATTCGGCTCCTTTGCCCTTTGTATACCTTCCAAAACAGCCAGGACCTCAATTCTTAGCGAATCATCTACACCAATTGAACCTGAAAATAAGGCCACTTTTTCTTCCTCATCTCTGAGTACTCCTCCAATGTCTGAAGGACCGGGGTTTCCTTCACTACCTCCATCAAAGTTCAACTTAGTGAACCCACTATCTGGTGGAGTCCAATTGGATTGACTACAGGTTTAAAAGGGGCTGGAATTAGCTACTTTCTTCGAATTACTAAGCACAGCCACTGTAGAGATATCCTCAAAGAATCTATAGACTTCACCCAATGGACCATTCTAGCAGTAATGACATCAACAAGTGCTCCTCTACTTCTCTCCTTTTCAAAAAAAGAAAAAAAATCCTATGATTCCTTTCTTACCAAACTGTCCAACAGATAGCCATGAATGCTTACAACCACTTAGTGCCACAACTTGTCTCCCTCTAGGGGAAACCTCCACAAGCATTTCCCTAGTGGTGCCTTGTTTTGAGTTAATAGGTTATCAATTCCTAAACCCCCTTGTAAGTATATGGAATTAGACATTGCACTACCTACGATGAGTGACCCACCATAAGGTTACATATGTAACCATCGCATAAGCAATAATGATGCAATGGAATATTGACTTGGTATCATCAAATCCCAGCGCAATTGTCTCTCATACACACCAATTATTCCCCTATCTTTCATTGAAGCAGGATCCTTCAATAGCGTGTCACGTAACAATCTTGTGATACACTGTAATGCCTGGCCTTGTCTTCACAATCTCACCTCACAAGCTTGCTCCATGGCCTCGTTTCGCGATTATGCCTTTGTTCCAAGGATCAAAATTTCACAACATATCGGCCCGTATCGGCCAATAGTTGTGGAGACACTTGATGTACTGTAGTACTATGGTCCCTTTTTTTATGAATAGTACTATGGTCCCTGTTGTACTAGTCTTATTTTCTTTATTTCTTCCTTTTATCTTTCAGCCCTTTAAGGGTTCTTTTGTAATTCTTTATATTTTATCTTTTAGCCCTTCAAGGGCTCTTGGTAATTGTGTGTGTGTGTGTATATATATAACTCATTGGGGGTGAGGGTCGATTATCATATTAGACACCCCTGGTGTTCTCTCACGAACTGGAAGATTGACATGGTATCAGAGCAGGTCATGTCTACCAGCTGCTGATTTGATTTATTTCTTGGATGATTAGAGGGTTGTTTGAGAAGTATTTTGATTACCATCGAGTTCTGTTTGAAGATTATTTGAAGGCTGTTTTGAACTTTTGATCAACCAAAGCTGATAGATATTTTCTGGAAAAGATACCCAGCAGGCCATCTTTTTCTTGTTTTCTCTAAATTGGCTGATTCAATCAGCCTAAGACTCTAAGGTTGGTGTCACCCAGGCTTCCTTTAACTGGTTATTAATCTGTTTTGAAGACTGGTTTGGTTTTGGTAGGGTTTTGATCCCACCTTGTAATCGACAGTCCTGAAACTTCATTTTTAGGACTGACATCGATATAAACCTATTGTTCTGAGATTTCTGCAGTATAATCTCATTTTACTTGGTGAAGTATAACTTCAGTGTTGCTTTTGAACTGTTACTGAATTAAGTTAGGTGGTTAATTTCTGGTTCTTCCCTCTTTTAGCATTGTTAACCTGTCTTGGGCTGTGGTTGTGATTCGGAATGTCTGAGAAGGCTGATATCATTCCTGTAAAGTTTGATGGAACTAACTACAGCATGTGGAAGTTCCATTTTGACTTATTTGTTAAAGGAAAAGGTCTGGAAGGATATATGAATGGAAGTTGGATAATGGGAAAATAGTTTCTTGGATACTCAGCTCAATTTTATCTCATATTGCAGTACCAATGAGAAGAAAGTGTACTGCTTATGAGATGTATGCATACTTAAAGAAGGTGGACCGTGTACCATCAATCTAACACGTCTAGACAGTATCAGATTGAATCTGAGATTCTTGCCTATTGCCTGGGAGATAAGAAGATTTATGAATATTATGCTGATTTCCTTGACTTGTGGGCAGAATACGAGCTTGTCCATATAGACCCTTCGGACCCTACAGAATGTGTCAAGTATCTCTCCAGCAGCACTTTGAGAAGACGAAAGTTAATCAATTCCTTATGAGACTTAGACCTGAACATGAGATAACCAGGTCCTATATTTTGAGTAGAGGAACTCTTCCAGTTGGATTCAGTGATGGGTGAACTGTTGAGGGAGAAGACTAGACCCCTAACTACTGCAAGTATTGATGGAAAATCAATAGATTTTAGGGCTGATACAGCTCTTGTTGTTCAAGGAATCAAGAAATCTGGTGCCAAAGACTTCTCCAAAACACAATGTTACGAGTGCAAGAGATTTTGTCAGGATTTTGGGTTTCGTAGAGGACTTAGGGATGATGAAATTGAATCTCTTTCTGTCTTGYTTGGTTGTCTTAATCAGGTYTGTTTGGATYYCTCCAAGCCARATAAGAGGGTATGGACTCCTAGACCCAATGGAACCTTCACTTGTGCTTCTTTCTTCAAGTCCATCTCTCAACTTTCTACTCACCAACCCTTTCTATCAAAAGA